GGTCAGACTCAGTCCTCCTCCTGCTACTTTAAAGCTGCTGCTGCCTTTGTTTGCTACTACCCGGGTGGAAATTTGACTGTGAAATTGAATCTTGCTTCTGTGTTTTACTCACTGCACTTGACATGTGACAAGGACAGAGAGAGTGACACGAGGAGGAGGACGAGGAATAAACGGGACACAACATTCCTCCTTTGTTTGGCACGAGGACTACTTTGTTAGACTTTTCCTTTGGGAGATTCAGACTCAAAACCCAATCCAGGCTAACAAATATGATACAAATTCCTACACTAGTTTGAAATCTTTCACAAATTTTTGCGAGCTTTTTTTCTTCTCCTCTTTTAAAAAATTCTTCTTGATACTCTTTTCATTTCGAGGAATTTCTAAAAGTAGAAAGAGTAGAAAGGAAGTAGTCGTCGTCGTTCGTGGTGGTGGTAAGTGGGTCGGGATTCTTTGTACCCGGTGGGAATCCACCAGTTGGTCCACATCCAAACTCAAAAAGTAACCAACAAAGCACAAGCTCTTTTGCTGCATATGTACGTACCACAAAGAGAGATACACATGGCTCGAGAGGTCAGCTTTCTACTTCGTCTCTTACAAATTGCTCCAGAACACGAGGCAACATTGGTAAACAAAACGGAATGGAATAAATAATAATGTAGGAGAAGAGAGGAATCAAAAATTGTATGAGAGCCTTTTCCTCTACATAAGTGGGAAGAGAATAATATTTGAGGATGTGAAATAGGAAACTTGAAAACAAATCGAAAAATTTCAAGATTTGATTAATATTTTCAGCCTTTGATTTCAAAAACTCCAGGAACGCGGAACACCATGATGTCCCGTTTTATTAATAAGTATTTATTTTACGCGTGTATTCATAACCCGAGCTTCATACATGTGTACATACATTTGCTTAGACATGATTATTATTACACTAATCTAGGCACAATTTTTCGCGAAATTCTCCAGAAACTTTTGCCATTAATTAATTATCGCGTAAGGTAAAATCTCAGGGAGTGGGGAGAAAAAGAAAAGAACGAGAGTACATTTGGGACAACATTAGTGCAAAAAGTGGGAAGCAATTAGTATTCATGGGATATTTGTGCCAGACTCGGCAAGCGACTTTCCTTCTGCGTTCTACCCTTTCTTCTTCTTCGTCTTATCTCGTGCTGAATGGAACTTTGTGCTGCACAAGGTTTCAGTAATTTTGGTGAATGAACCCATGCATACGAGGGACAAGGGCATCTGAGTCAGTGGCCGCGGAAGCTGTGGGGACATTAACAGTGTAGGATGGGGGAAGGGAGGGGTTTATATGACATGGGCAGATGATGGGGACCTCGAATAACCGTGGGGACAGAGGGGCAATGTCCGCACCCTTCCGCGGCCACTGATCTGAGTGTATATATTATTCTAGAATACACTGTGATCTCAGTGAGTGCTTGATGATGGCATCATCACCATTATCTTTTTCGTCATGTTGTGTGTGAAAGAATCTCCCTTTATTCACCTTTCACATCCTTCCTTCTTACTTACCCATCTTGACCAAAAAATACACCGTCTCATGTCCATCCGTCCATCCATCCATCCGTTATTTCTTGTTTGAAAAGATGGATGACCAACCCCTAAAAATAACTGAATACACACGGGACAACTTTACTTGCTCCACTTTTCAAACACTTCATTAACTTGTTTCTTTCAAGTAGAAAGTTAAGCACAATTTGCCCCTCTTCAACCAACTTAGTTTTCTAAACGAGACATTAAATTATTGTTATCAACTTGATAAACGTTTCCCCATCGCGATGACAAGTTTTTGTTGGAAAGAATGAATGATATTATAATGAGTGTGTTCTTTTTCTTGGTCTTCTGCTCCCTCCTCGGCGTGGCAGTGGCAGTGTTGTGATGGTCACATCGCAGTAATTAATCAGTGTCTCGTCTATCCCCGTATAAAGTATCCTGTAGTAAAGTCTGCATTATGCAGTAAAGTATGTAAGCAAAGTATCATCATCATTAACCCGAGCGAGACTCCTAAAGAAACGTCAACCTTGCCGTCAATGTGAACCATTTCTTATTCTTCATCATCATCTTCTTCTTCTTCTTCTCCTTCCATCCTATTTCCCGGGTGCTTAAACACAACACCAAAAATGTACAAGAACCGTAAATGCGAACCACATTTCGTGGTTCGTTGCTTAACTTTCACCCCGTTTCCGGTCTCACTCGCTTTCTTTCTTTGTTGTGTCATTCCGAGACGTGTTTGGTCTTATTCAGCACCAGACTTTTATTGTGGCTGACAATATTTCTGGGTGTGATGATTTATGATACGTTTTTACTCGGAGGAGTGAAAGTGTGCGTATTTGTGGAGATACAACTTTTATTTTGAAAAAAACGTGGGATTAATTAACACTACGCATAAAAATATTTTAGAAAATATAAATATAAATGTGCACCTTTTCTGTCTGTGTAATAAAATATTTTTAAAATTTCGTAATTAGTAAATTTCAAAATCAAATCTCAATGAATAATCAACTACTACTTTCATTTTCATTCATTCCCATTTAAATTATTGATTTTCATCCAATCCACGAAATATTTAGATAATTGGTTTCGTCTCGTCTCAATATTTACAAAACCAGTCTCGAATTACATGAGTACATCTTTGTTGTATCATTCATTCATGTTTGTCGTTTTTGTTTGCGATCGTTTGCAAGACCACGTTTTGAAAAATGGTTTGATTGAACTTAATGCAAACACATGATTAATTTATTACCAGCTCTCTTTGAATGTAATGTCTGAACTGGTGAGGAGCGTATCCACAGTGGCGCACCTGTTACCCTTGGGGCACTTGAAAAACTCTCACTTTCTTCCTTGATTCTGATTGCGCTCACTCACAAGTCAGAAATTAAGGTGAACTTGTTTCCTCGTCCTTCCCATTTCTCAAATACGTAAGAAAATCCTATGCGTAGCAAGTCAAAGAATTCAAAACAAAACCGGTTTCATTCGCAAAATTCCTGAGTTTAAGTGTACGCACGCATTTGATACAAATCTCTTCTCAACTCCAAACAATGTAGATATTTCCTCATTCTGGAAATACTTTTTCTCAAAATTTTCCCATTCTTCTTTTAAAACTTTGTGTCCCAAAATTTGGCCCACTTCCAATAAAAATTGGACGAGTGTGTACGTATGGACTGGACATTGAGTTGGATGTAAAACATAAAAAGATCACCTCCTTGTGTGTCGAGCCCCTTAATGACCATGACACCAGCCGCCCGAGCTCCCATTTCCTCCAACTTTATGTCATCATTACATTACGAGAGTCGTCCTCCTCCTGCTGCTCAGAGTCGTTCACGTCATTCCTCCATGGATGCATTTATTGTATCGTCATCATCATTTCGCTCACTCTCCTTACGTACATCTGCTCCGTGCAAGTCGTGTCCCGGTCGTGTCGTCGGGCGATGATGTGTCACTCCTCCCCTGGCGACGTCGTCGTGTATGATGATTAGCCCCACATCCCCCCAACTTTCTGATTAACTTGTCCCCATCCTCGGGATATGGAGGGCTCCCTCAACACCGAAATTTTCATGTGCTCATTTCCCTTAATTGTATCGGCCTTGAGCTTTTTCCTCCATATGCTTTCTTCTTCCTTACGGCGCAATTTATTTATTTCGCTCCAGTTCTAATTGAAAGGGTCGTCTTCTTCTCGAGGGATTAATTCAGAGCAATAAGTAGTCCCGGGGGACGGATTATGAATTAAGTTCACTTACTTACCTGGAGAAATAAATCTAACGGAGGAGCAGAGAAGTATCTAAGCCAAATACAATAGTGGATTCGAAGAAAATACAATTTTGCCAATTTTTTTATGTGCACCAAATACATACATAGAAGGAGAGAAAGAGAGACAAACAGACACACCTCCAGCCATGTCATATCTTTGACCTTTCATATCGAAATGTTGGAAGAATCGAAATTTCATTTCATCCTTTTTATTATCCATCTTCTCCTCCCATAACGCGAATAGTTTATGTCCCACTTACACCACCACCACCATCACCACCACCACTAAGAAAGTCGAGGCATGGAGAAAGTTACCCCATCCAAACAGAAAAAATAAGAGAAAGCCAATAGCAGGATGGATCCAAATGCCTAATAAATTCCTGGAGTGAATTGAGTCAAATCCTTCCACAAATCTGGACCTGGCCAATTCTTTCGAAATGATTTCTCCTCTTTCTTCTTCTCCCAGTCTTTTTCTCGGCCTCATATTTATTGTCCATTTTCATGCCCGAATTGAGCCTACTGGTAGTCGCACTTGCAAATTATTTGCAACATCCATCCATCCATCCACCCGTGATGAAGGAAGGCAAACTCTCTCCTCTGCAAGAAAGAAAAAACAACATTGTGAGAAAGAATTGACCCTAAAATTTCTTCATGTCGAAAAGAAAAATCTCAGAAATCAAAACGAATCCCATTTTCCATTTTCACTCGGGAATAATCGATACATAACAATTTGAGAGCACTTTGCTTTATTTTAGTTGTGCCCTCGTGCCACGTATGCAGTGTCGTAAAACATAAAGGGTGTCGATAACAATTTCCATGCAAATTTGAAACTTTTTCTCCAAACTTAGAGCTCCTTGTACACGTTACATTTGGTTAGTGGTCGATTGGGAGGAAATCTTTGGTTTTTGAGACGACATAACTACGTCATTTTGTTTCGGAGGGAATTGGACTTTGTCGATATTACACGTAATGTAATTGTGTGGGAGAGAGAAAGTTAAATACTTTTTGTGTTGGGACGATGAAAAGTTCGCTTTAAATTCATGAATAGTAGTTTTTGAGGTGATGAGGTTGGTCATGAAATGAATGTTAATTTGGGTGAATTTAAGGGTGAGGAAGGAATTTTTCCAATCGATCGGGCCATTTTATGGAGGGGAAGGAATTAGTTTTTCTTCCAGAGAGTGTTTACAGAGACGAACTAATTGCAACTTTTTTCCGTCTTGATTGTGTGATTGCAGTTGGGACGTTGAGCGTGGTGGAAGGGATACGATGTTACCAGTGCGGGACTTATATCATCACGTCGGTCACGCCTTGTCGAAACCTCAGCTCGACACATTTGCACGAGTGTCCCCCAGAAGCTCAGTTCTGCTCCAAGTACTCAAACCCGGCGATTCAGGTTTATGGATGTGAAAAACATTGCGAGGAACGTGGTAAGGACATTGTTAATGCAATGTTACTTTAATATTTGACCTTTTTATGTGTATTTTCGTAAAATGATATAATACTGTTCCAAGTTTCAAAACAAAAAATCTCCAATTGTTCGAAATTTTACTCTTAATGTAAATTTATAACCAGGAGATTAGGAACTTTGTGCAAATAATTATCATTGTTTTAAAGCATTTGCATGCATGTATACTTCAAAATTTACATAATTTGCGACAAAATGTTTAGATTTCAAAAAGCGTTTTCATACAGTTTTCACTAACTAAACTCTTCCCCGTTTTTTTTCAATTACAGTGCAAAACTCGTTCGAAATCCATTGCTGTGGCGAAGACAAATGCAATGGTGCCGAAATAACGCGAGGTTCGAGTTGGATTTTTCTCCTAGCGATCCCCGCAACCTGGTATATGATGCTTTAACTTGTCGCCTATGAAATGTCGTCATCAAGCAAACATCCACCAGACGACAAGAACGACGACGATGCCTCTACACTCTCTTTTACTTCTGTCTTACTAGCGCCGTAACATGGCACCATTGCATATTCGATAATGTGACGGAGTGATTGGGTAAAAAATCTTTACTTTCTCCAACAATTGGCATCATAATTTCCAGGACGTTGATTTCATCTCCATCTCAAAATTATCTATTAACCTGTCTGTAAACAATTTCAAACACATATAAATCGAGTGTATGCAGTTACATTTTTTGTGTCACGTGGCACAAGTTTCAAATTTCAATGATCACAGGTGCACTAATTGTTATCGTTCTCCCCAAATTAACATAGGCTAGGTGAATGTGTACCACCACCTCAGTAAAAAAAATTAATGGTGCTTTTAACACAACACTCACATTCTGCATCCATTCTACTACTACTAACCAACCTGTTTCAGAAACATTGCTTAATTGGTCTCGTCTCATTTCAATCAAATTTCCATTTTTCTTATGTAAACCAGACTCACCATGAAGTTTGTATGTGTCTCACACCTTTTATGATGTAAATGGCTTTGACGAATCGTGTCTGCCTGTTTAAGAACAAAAAAATAGTGCATAGTTCGCGTTGAAATATTCACTTATCTATAATATCAGACTGTGGCGTAAATTAACTAATAATCGAATCTATTTTGTCACCTTATTTCCTTCCTTTTCACCTCTGATCTGACAATGAGTGTGCATACATAGTATTCAAATACAGAAATGCATGCTAAGTAATTAAGAAGGTGCGCGTGAAATTATTAAATACATCTTTATCCTTGTTACATATTGCATTCCTGCGTGAAAAACTAATCGCATTTGATTTAATAATTATTCATTCAAACTGGAGATGATAATTAATTACTACTTAAAATAATAACTACGTAATTACAACTACTTTCCTACACAGCTTCAATGTCTAAATACTACTTAATCGAGAACAATATTAAGCTCTCTCTGGTAACCGATAAGTACATATATTTCTGATCCGCGGCGAATTTTTGCATTTTTCTCTCATTTTAAGTTAGTCTAACTAACACAACTATTATTAAACATTTGTAAACTTGCATATCCTTGTGAATGTTGGTTGCGCAAGAAATATGTAGTTCACTCCGTGTAAGTAATCATTACAATATTTCGTTACCAACACTTCCCTGCAGTCCTTATTTTTCGCATGCATGACCGGACCGGAATGTGTGCACAGTGCATAAAAAATTGTGTAAAATACTAATTCTTAATATATTTCAAAGATATGAAATGTTGTTGGAAACCTGTGCATTAAATATGACATATTACAGATATGTATAAAAAGTATAGAGGAAGATACATACAGAAACTATTCATTCACTCCGTGTAACAATTTATGTGTGGAATAGTAATAATAATGTTAATTAAGGCGATGAAATAGTGAATTAAAAGTTTTCCAGGATGGTTCAAATAATAACAAACGAAATATATTGCACCATTTCCACCACCTCCGAAATATTCCAGAAATATTCAATTTTAGCGAATCGCAAAATTCCTCCTACAACATATGTATGTAATTCATTATTTGCAATATTAATAAACCTGTTCACAATTAGTAGTGGTAGTTTTATGTATGTATTTATGTAGATGAATTGATTTTAGCCTAGTTTAGCATAAGTACTTATCTCGTAATAAGCCACAATACAGATATATAAATGTTGTAAATTAGTGGGTAGAAAATGTGAAGGAAAACCTTGTATTACGATTCTCCTTCTACAATCAAAGTAGTGAGTTTCAATAATTTGAGGTAATTTGAAACTTATTTTACCATTTCGTTTTTACAGATTGATTCCATGTATTACTGATTTTTGAAATGATGTATTGGTTCGTTTATTTTACAAAAAAGTGTGTCAGCAAGGTTGCAATTATTCGTTTTTTTTAAATTTGTGTATGTGTATTTTCATGGTGGTCGAAAAAAAACATTGTCTGACCTTAAAATATGTCAGGGGGTTTGTGCTAGCATAAAAATGAGACGGGTACTACATCAGGAACTGAGGTTACAAAAAAGTGTAAAAATTTGGTTAGTTTTCATTTCGTTTTTTTGTGAATTTTTTTGAGTAAATATACAATTTGTAGAAATATTCAAATAGTTATTATTTACTTTACGCAACCTACATGCTTACCTTTAAAAACCAATCAATTACATATTATATGTGCACCATAAACAAAATTGTAATCATGATATTAAATGGTTTACTAATAAAATTTTTAAAAAACCTACAAAAAATTCCATATTTTCAGAAACTCTTATTCAAAAGAATGATGACAAAAATAAAATATTTTACTCGTAACAGCATCACATCAGCATTAAGTCACCTATGTTACTTGTGCATATTATAGGAATTCGATATTATTGGAAAATAGTTTTACACCAAAATTGCGCTGCATTGCAGATACTTACTTCCAAAAATAACGCTCATTTTGGATATAAAAAGGAAAATATGCACTTCAGAATTTTGCGACACATTTTTTCAAAAACCATCGCATTACCATCAAAATCATGGCATGCTTGCACAACCAACTTTACACAACCCACCAGCACTCGACCCTTCCTTCTCAAGTGCAATCTACACCACAGGTAAGTAAGCAGAGTAAACCCGTGTCCTCAAGAAAACCGGTGGATTGAGTGCACCAGATTGACTTTGATCTTCACTTTACTTCGCAAATCCCTTGATGAAACACTTTACTCAAAAATATGAGTACATAAATTTACAAAGTAAAATTTCATAAAATTTAAATTTTCATTTTATAAAGTCAAAGGTCAATCATGGTAGGATTATTTTCATTTCTCGGCATGACCACAAATTTCAGCCAGAAAATGGCATCACCACCAGCATCACCGTATTATTAAATGGTTTCATAACATGGTCATCATCAGATCAATAAACTTGAGTATGTTCGCGCAGGGGATGAATTTTAATGAACAAAAAATTATCAAGTCGTATTGTCTTCTTCTTCATGCAAGGACGGACCCATTGTACCGGTCCATTCCATCCTCATGATCTTCTCAATCTCCTCTCCGCCACAAGTGCTGAATTATAATGATACACAAAAGTTGTTCGTTTTAATTCCTTATTTCTCATTCAGGCCGCCTCATCTCATCTTGCCTGATAACTTGGCTCATGTGCAGGCGGCTTAAGTTGGATGTGTTATTATCATTTTATTTTATTGTTATTATCTAGATATTCCGTTCATATTTATAACATGACATAATCCCATGTTCTTGGGGGTGAGGATCTCTCTCTCTGTTTATCCCACGCTCTCGGGCATCTCCATTGTTTCGAACGTTGCCATTGTTTTCGCCATCGTTTGTCGAAATACTGCGAGGGATGAGACATGTGAGACGATATTGTGGATGGAGGATTGTTACAAATTTTTACAAGTTTGTCACTTATGCAGAAAACTTGAGGCCATCAATGCGTTTGGGTCGCAAGGGTGACGACGCGAGGACTCGTTTTTAACAATATCTGCCAAATGAGACGATTATTGAAAGGAATGCATTTTCTGGATGACATTATTATGAAGATGCAATGTCCATCGACGCATTTTATTAGTATTCCCCCCACGTAGAAGCCAACCACTCTAACCCCACCCCACCCCACACCCGACTAGAGGAAAGCATGAGATATACCAACCCGGTCCAAAAACCTGTTCCGACTTTAAATTTCCCGTTAATTGAAACTCCGTAGTGGATGGAATTTGAGTAATGCATGACGCCAAGAACGCAAAGCAAGTTGAATACCACCACACGCTGCCTGCCAGTATTTGAAAGCGCTCTATCTAGAAAATGGGAGAAATTAAATATTTCGTCCAGATTTTATCCTGTCCAACCCGCTGTGTAAATACCCTGGGAGAAAGTTATGCGCGTAATGTATTTAAAATCAGGCAAAAATGTATCCAACGACCGCACCCAGCCATCCGCACAGCACATATTTCAACCTGACAATCTTGTCAATATTGATCTCTCTCCAACCCTTCCTGCCTTTACCAATGGCATTCCATTTAAACCACGTCCTGCGACATTGTTGCTGCCCAAGCAAACCTTTACCTGAGTTTACACAGCCCTGTCCCGTATCCTAAAAGTGGATTTGTAACCTCAATGACTTGGGACTCTGTTATCTACCTGCTCCATGCTCACTTACTGCATAAATACGAGGCCTACCTCTACTGTAATTTATACTCGAGCTTCTGCTGCTGCAGGTAGTCTGCTAATAGGAAATATTACATTATTGGAGTGGAGTATCATTGGATGAGGAATTCCATTAGCCGCAGGGGAGAGCTGAACCACCTGTTGGCCGCAACTATAGCGTGCCCTCATACATACGCTTCTGTGGCAAAATGATAATATCCCTCTGCCGGTGAGTGAGAGGGGCGGGGGGGTTTCTTTTTCATCTCTTTGCTACCTTCCCAGTTTAACTGCAACTTAGCAAGCCAGCCATTTTCTCTCACTTTCACATCCACCAACTACCAACTAACTAATCTCAAATAGTCGAATGTTATACCTTTGCTTTGGGTTGGTCTGGCTGGCATGGCATGATGAGAGTTTCGAGAGGAATAAGGTGGTCGTAGTATTGCTTATTATTACCTGATGGATGAGGATGATGATGATGTCGTATCTTTGAAAGAGTCGAGTGCAATAATTTGTTAGTTGGTTGTGGACTTGTGTTCTGACTGTTCTGACCAATTTTTAATCTTCTCATACATCCTTGATCGCATGAAAAGTCTGGTTACTCTGCCATAATAGAAGGGGTGTGTTTAGTTTAGTGTAGGGTTCTTTTTTGGGGAGTGGGAACAAATAAGTTTTACGGAGGGGAGACTTTTGGGAAATTTATTTTCCGATAAGTTTTACTGTGAGCGTGATTAGTACAGAGTTGAAGTGAATTTGACCTCTATGGTGTAAGTGGAGCTGTGTGAAAGCTTTGTTTTGACGATAAAAACTGTAAATAGAAGGTACAATAAAAAGGGCAACTTTGTGTAAAAAGTGATCAACAAAATCCGAGTTCGGTACAAACTCTCGCACACACACAGTCAATAAAATATACATTGCCGTGCTTGTTCACGTGTACCAATTTTTTGCCAAATTTTCCAGTACAATTGTCAATTCCTGACGTAACATTACTCATTCATGTATAGTTATCGACTGTTCTGATTTTTTTTAGTGAACAGCGTAATTCGTAAGTCGCAATATACGTCATTTTCAACTTATCTGTGCTTTTGTGGTGACGTTAACGTGTTTGCTGCTGCTGGATAGTTATGAGATGAGTCTGCTGCCTGGATAATATGTTATCTTTCATCTTTATTTAACCGGCTACTCCTCGATCCTCCTGCCTGACTAATCCTCCGATGCTGATAACAATGCTGCGATGTGCCAATAAATAAAGTGGTGAAATAAAGAAGAATAGTTTACTTTGTGCATGGGCGACGAAACTACGTATTAATATCTACATGCACTAATTGTTTATCCGTATTAAATTATACTGAACGTGCCTGTTTGTGCCGGAGTGCAAAAAAGGTTTTATAGCGTTGGAACATTTTAAGGTAAGCGTTAATAAATAAGAGCTTGATTTTTATTTAAGAAAGTGATAGTTTTCCGCCCCATCTTAATACACACGGTTGTTTTGTAATGAACATATTATATAACAATATAATATAACAATATATTATGTAACAAGTCATAGTTCTTTAATAGAATGTGCAAAGGAAGTGTCGCTTCCTTTATTTTACACACATTGCCAATAACTTGCAAACTTTGTGTCAATCATTGTTTTAAGAGCAAAAGTTATTAAAGACTTGTCTGATTTTTTTGATAAGCCAGCATTTCGTTTCTTGTTACATGTAATAAATACTATTCATTCATATTTATTTATATTGTTCGTAGTTCTACAAGTAAATATTCCCACTTTTTAAATTGTCCAATAAACGAAACAACAAGTGTTAATATGTAGCTCAATTGTTTTCTAATTCTTGACATTTAAAAGGAAAATCTTGTATTAATTTTTGGTCTTTCATTTCAGCCCAGAACGTATTTTCCCTTTTGAATGAATGACCCCAGGATGAGGGGAATCAACGAGTCACACTACGCCGGTAAGTGAATTAGTGAACCAATTTTAAACAATGTGAAGATCTGCGAAGATCAATTTAGGAAATTCTACGACTATTTAGTCCTTCAAGATACATTGGGAAGATGACCCTAATTAGTTTTTTACCACATGCATCATACAACTCGGACCCACATTTGTCTCCCCAACAAAACAAATTCTTATTCAAATGTCAGTCAAAATTCATTAGGAGGATTTCTTTAGAGTGCCGACATGTCATATGTGCCACACACGAACAGAATAATGAAAATGTGAACCAAATTTTAACCAGTTCAAACAATACGTTCAAAATATTTTAACAATTGGCATTCAACAATTTATTAAAATCGACTGGTCACTGTTGATATTCCGTGGTTGTAAATATGTATCTGATGACAATTAGTTGGTGTGGTCATCACCTCGCATACTTCAAATTTTTTATATAGACGCATGTTAAACCGAGTTGCAACAAGTCACTGTCAGAATTATTTATGGAATCCTCACCAATTAAATACCTACATATTTATAAGTGGCGATGATATGAGCCACCAATCCATAAAAATATCTACTTAGGGTCGTATTGGTAGGAATGAACTTGTGTGGTAATTCGTCATTCTCATAAAATGTGGGCATCATCATCACCAATCGCATTATAATTATAATACAAATTTGCAATCACGCTGCTCACTTTTATTCGCGATGATAAGAATACAATTTTTATCGCGAATTGCTCTCAAACTACATATTTATTCAATTTTGGTTTTATTATTTTGTGGCCTCAACGAGTGCGAAAAATTGAATCCGAGTTATTATTTGCATACATACATACATTTGTTGTGTGGTTTGGTTTGGTGGCCTTGATTCGAGAGTGATGATAAGCCTCAACTTACCTTATCTCACGATACCTGCTGCTTCTGCTGGTGGTGGTAGTGCTGTCAACACGTATCACAAATCCTGGCTGGTGACTGGAATGATCAAATCAAACATTACAAAATTTGACCAGATCACATAAGCCCCCAGTGTTGCTCAACACTTGAGTTGGTCTCACCACGAAGAGAAATCGGGTCGCAGCAGCAGTCATTTCTATCAAGCAGGTAGGATAGGACTGGTAAGAGAGGAACTGTGGGTGTGGATCCGGTTTTTGCAGGGGACTCGGTTTTTTTATTTCCGAAAACTGCTTTCGTGGTGTGGACAAACTTTAGTGTGTTAGACTTCTGTCAGGCGTCGTTTTGTGGGGGAGTCTTATCACAAAAGGTAATGCAAACCGAATTGCGTAATTCATGAATTTATCAAAATTTAGCTTTTTGAATTGAAAGATTCAATCATAAGTTTGGAATGTATCGCTGTGTCGCTCCAATTCATTCATGTTCCACATTTTCCACTGTTTGTTGAGCAATCATTGCCTGACTGACTGAACCGTTGTCGAGATAAGATTCCTCGTCACCGACAAGTTCCAAATTCCACAGGCTTTCATTTCAAGGACAGTTTTACTAAGCAATTTTCCCATGTCGAGTATTTTTCTACTACTGTAAATAATAATGATTTAGTATACTTTTGGATTGAAAAATTTGTATTTGGATTTGGATTCTTTGATCCAAGTTTTCTCATGTGCTTGTTAAAAATTGCGAATCATTGCATCAGAACAGTTATTCTACATTCACGTGTTTTATGACCCTGTTGTTTTTCGAGGTGATAATGACTAGGTTCCGGAATCATAGTAAATATTCTGCAAAACCCAACTAGCTAAAACTTTACCCTTCCACCACCACCACCATTCTTCCAAGTTTGGTTAAATATTAGCTGTTTTGTGTCGTCTCACGTCAGCTTCAAGTCTGGCTCAACGAAATACAACAAATTTTATGGGAAAACTTCACCCCACTTTATGCCGAATGAATCCATGACTTTCTCTCTACGAACCAAACACCAACTTTCTCCAAGAAGCAAGCACAAAAGCAGCGGAGGCAGGATTCGACGATGTGTTTTGTTGTGGAAATTCGTACATTTTTCATGCTAAACTATATCACGTCAAACAGCTATTTAATCCGAGTTGGTTTCGTGGTCGTAAACTGAGTGGGTTGGCAAAGTCTGTTCCCTTTCAGTAAATATCTGTGCAGACTCTTCGTTTTGGTCACGTAAAAATCCATGCAATTTCATCCCGTCCAGTTTCTTGTAAAAGTACTAATTGTTCATTTTTACCTAATTTTTCCAGGAGACCAATTTTCCGACCGTGGTGGCGAAATGGACGGCGGCGGCGGGATGATGGGAAACGTTTACGAAGTGGAACACTTGGCCACGTTCCAACTATCGGAAGAGCTAAACGCACCCTCTGACGGAATGCGGAGGTTGTTGCACATGGAAAAGAACGGCTTTGGAATTTGGAGTCAGAAAATGCGTGTCCGCCTCGAACGGAACTTTATCGTAATTCTAGATTTCGAAAATGGGGTAAGTTTAGACTGTCAAGCTTTTTTATAATCGCTTATATACGTTCAAGGGTTTCATCCATCCTTCCACTCACTCGAATACTTCCATTTATCAGAGAAAATCTCCCTTTATTGGAAATTGATCTCATCTAAAATTGTAATTGATTCTTTGTGCAAAACTTGGCCACGGGATTCCTTCATTCATTCACTCACTCTCTCTGCGAAGGAGTCTCGTGTATCTCTCTCTCGAGCCTGAATTACATTTAGGCAGCATCGATCCAATTTAAATTCTCATCTCATTTTACATCTTTTTCTTCTAACAAGTTCATCCGCCTCCCCTCACTTTTAACTGTCTCAGAGTCAGTACAAACCATTACCAAACTATTCCAATCCATTGTCAAAAAAGCCGTAAAAATTTGCATGAAAAGTGTGAACTAGTTTGAATCTAAATTACAAATGTTTCCCATTCTTGGCTAGTAGTAAAATGCTTCCTACATATTTAGTTTCGTGCAATATTGCCACTTTACAATTTAATTCCAACCTCATAAAAAAGGTCCACTGTTTAAAAAATGTTTCAAATTTAGCGACCATAAAGTACAAATCCGTGTCAGTTTACTACTAAATCAATATTTTATTCCTCACTTTTTATTATTTTGCATGTACAAATCAGCACATCGATACTTTTTGTCAACATGCAAATATGTATTGCCTCGCTCATAATAATTTATTTGTCATCCTGCGCTGAGAATGGAATTGAATTTGTACATAAGTCAAGGTTCATTGATTTCACTCTTTTCCAAACAATAAGAGGGAGATTGAATTGCTTAATAAAACGAAATTAATGAAGCACGCGTTCCTCCTCCTCTCTCTTCGCCAGTCATGCCGTCGTCATTCCTTGCCTGTCGTGGAATATAATTGTATCACATTTTCCATCACATCCCTCCTACTCATCCATTAAAAACTTATGCAATTTCAATAACGACGACGACAACAATTGCAATGTCGAATCTGTAAATGCAACAATCTCAGAGTTACATCTCTCTCTCTTTGCTGACGTTCGTGGTTTTGTTTTCTTACTCGTCGTGCTACATGCTTAAGTTATCATAAAGAAAACACATAACATAATAAAATGGGTCAAGGTTTTTGATACGTAAATAAATGTACAAGTAACCCGTATGCATAAGTACTTGCCTCGTGTGAGACAATCGGATGAGGATGATTTTTTTGGTGATAAATAACAAAAAACAGTGGTAGATAGTAGATAAATGCATACGTAGCTTACTTATTATTATCCGTTCTCCTCCACAGAACAGAACGCAGTTGGTAGGAGATTGACTTTAGTTGGCTGAGCACTTTTCCCCCAAGACTTGGTTTTCTCTCGTCTCGGAAAGAAAAAAAAATATTTCGAAAGTTTTTTTGTAATCCATTGTTGATGATGATGTGCGATGTGATTTGTGTTTCACTATTTGACTCGTCTGGGACTTAATTGATTTCTGTTACTGAAGAAGGAGGGCGATGAAATTGGGAGGGCGAGATTCCAGTCAGTCACTCATAATAATCCCACACCAACCATTCCCCTCAAGGGAGACGGTAGATGAACTCCTCACCTTTCATATTCTCGCCCTGTCCTGTCTCGCACCACTCACATCACGGAATTATTATTTCCGGAAAAGAGAAAAGCAGAGCAGGAAATGAATAGATGGATTTTTTTCCCTCCGCACTCTCTCCCTGCGTCGTTTAGCCTTGATTCGAAGAAAAAGAATAAGAAGATTAGACTTGTTTCTGGCGAAAAAAGAAGTCGGATTTTCTATAAACAAAATGTTTTCATTTTTTTAATATATTTATTTATTATTAGGATGAGATGGAGCGCTTCCCTCTCCCCATGATTCGTGAGCCTACAGCTTTCACCAACTCAAATCCGGGCGAGTTATACAACAATATTTTCGCCTTTATTGTCCACCCCGTGGAAATGCACATTTTCCAGGTAACCAATCTTCCCAAATATACATGAATTGTCCACCACTCGCCTTTCCTAATTACTTCTTGTGGTCTGCGTAATGTAATAATCATCGTTAAAACCAAGTGTTCTCGTCCCGCAGTGCTTCAACATATCCGCGGCAGATTTGGTGGAGGATGTCAAGTTGGCTTTGGCCGGTCGAGTGCCTCCTTCTCGGACGCGACACACGAGTCAGAACAGTCTGCCCCCACCCCCGGTGGCACCACCTCCAGAACCACCACATTTCAAGTGTGAGTTCACCCAGGCACTCGTTACATTTAATTTTATTAGGTTACCATTTTCCGCCCCAAAAGATGAGAGAGCGGAGAAAGAGAAAGAGGAGACGTTACATTTTATTTTATTTACTCCACTTCCTCTTTCTCCCACCGTGTGCAAATTATTGCTGCGAAAAGGAATATATCTCAAAAGCGGGTTGACTTTTTGATCCAATTTAACGGCGTGGGCACGCACAAGGAAGGAAAAGGAGATCAATTTTTACCTCGATTTAACAAAAATTGACCGAACCAACCTTGTCCACATTTTTTGGTAAACAAGTCAATATAACTTTTAGAGAATAAATAGGTAAACGTATCTGTAGTCGACAAGGCCCCCTCGATTTGAAAGAAATTGGATAGATTTCAGTTTAAAAGGCATCATATATATTTTTGTACCTCAGCCCCCGTCGAGGACTCGCGAGATGACACGTCCTCCATTGAAAGCGAGGGTCAGTATGAACGCGAGGTTGCAATTCTCAACCGCTGTTTCGACGACATTGAGCGCTTCATTGCCCGACTTCAGTACGCGGCCGCGGCGTACAGAGAACTTCAGCGGAGGCGAAAGTGAGTCCATTTATTTCATATTATTTAATTCTATTGGGTGGATTGGATTGGATTGGATTTCTGTCTGGTCGTGAAATGACTCTCGGGATGAATAATGAGCCAAATCCAGTGTCAATTCCTTGTGAAAATTCCATGATGAATTGTATTAGTTTCCCAGTTTTGTTCGAATGGAATGAATTAGTTTTGCATAGATTATTGTTATTGGTCACTCGCTGCGCTGTGAGTTTGGCGAGTGCAGTGCAGTTATGTGTACGCCTGGTCGTGATCAAGATGGAGTGCATCCCATCCATAAAACATTTATTACGAAATTATCGATTGATTTGGCCCAAATTTTGCATAGTGTGGTGGTCGTGGTCAGTCCGTGGCAATACTGGACAATGATGATATCCACCACACCACCCCACACTTTTCTTGATTGATTGGGTGTCTAGGGAAAGAAATATTAAAAAATTCCATGCTGCGTCCGCCCGCCTTTCTTTTTTTTCTACAACGAGTCCGAAATCCGATGAGGACTGAGGAGCTACAAATACTATTTTATTTCGTAAATAAAAATCTAGACAAGAAATATAGCAACCGACCACTCCAGACTCGAGTTTCGTGTCCTTTTTATTTTTATTTTTTACTACCAAGCATGAATTTGTTTCAAATAAATGTAACTTGTCAGATTCAGCTAGCACACTCAAAACGGAGAGAAGGAAACGCTCAAAATAAAAATATTAGTTTGTTTCCATTTTTTTCTTCTCTTTCATTTCATTCCAATCCAATCTATTCGGATACGTGGTCATAAAAAATAAAATAAAAACAAACTAATATATAAAACGAATCCTTGTGCGGTCAACTCAACCGGGTGGAAAAACACAAAGTTTTTTTTTCAAGTCCAATTTCAATTTTCGATATAAAAGAGCGAAACTTTGACGTTCTCTCGGCACGTGTGTAAATGTTTCGGAAAACTAGGTCTTGTTTGTCCCGTTTTATTGGCTTTTTTGCCAAGTCCAGTCAAATCCAGTCCACCCATTTCATTTCATCCTTGTGGGATTCGACAAGTGGATGATTGTAGAAAAATGATGAGTTTGTTAACTAGTTTTTCCTTATTTTATTATATTTTTATAGGTCGAAAAAGAGTAAGAAGAAGGATCACGGGGAAGGTCTCCTCTCCATGCGGGCCAGACCACCACATGAACGCGAGTTTGTCGACATTCTTCAAAAATTCAAGCTTTCCTTCAACCTTTTGGTGAGTTATTTTGTGGTGAAAAACAGTGGTCATAAAATGAAATGAAACTGATGCTGCTCACAATATTGGAGATCATCCTTGTGTAGCGCAGGCAAAGTAATACTTAATCACTACCATGTGCTCATTCCCATGTCGTATCAGCGTATCATCACAAAATCCACTTTCCTGGGATGGATTATTATTGCCAATGATTCATAATGCACCGCTTTCTGATTGTCTATCTTCCGAGTAAAACAAGCAGGGATATGGTTTGATTTTTAAAAGAAGAGCCCTGTCCACCATAAGGTTTTGATGTAAAAAATGATTCTTCTTTTAATATCCACACCATAACTGCGTAGCATTCGCCCCGATTTTATTCACTCTTTGATTTCAGTCCTACTCCACGAACTATGCATTATCCTATATTGCATTGTTCTTCTTCTCGTCTCATTTCCCATCTAAGGACTGATTTTACGTGGGCGAATCACGCGATGAGGAGATCAAATTATTTTATGGTGGAAAAATTGTACATATTCTCATTTTTTTTCTTTTACCAGGCCCGTTTAAAAGCCCACATTCACGACCCAAACTCCCCCGAGTTGGTCCACTTCCTCTTTACGCCGTTAGCTTTGATCGTTGACGCTTCGAGGGACGCTCACGCGCCTGGTCTGGCGTCCAGAGTGGTGTCCCCCCTCCTCTCCAGAGAAGCCGTCGATCTGCTGACGAACTGTCTCACCTCCAAGGAAACCGAACTTTGGCATTCGCTCGGAGATGCATGGCACTTGGCGAGGTAAGTGCGAATGTCATAAAGTCAAACGTGCAAAAATAGATAGCACAACGAGTTCATTACGCAAATTAAGCTTATCTAAATTAATTAACCAAGTTATGAGAGCAGAAGTTGATCTGTTTTTGATTCTGATGCCTTTGTAAAAAGTTAACAACTCACTTTCTCTCAACTTTTTTTTTCTCTGTCCTCGTCTGTAACTGATTTCGGGGCGAGTATAATAATAACCCTGCTTTAAAAAAATCAGAGTCAGAATCGCAAAAAAGTTTTTTTTTGCACTTTTGAAATAAATACGAACTGTTTTTGATATTTGGATTTTTTCATTTGGGAAGTATCTACGCAGTATAAAAATGGGATAGAAAAAGTATCTCTTTTTTATGGATCAGATATCCGATCCTAATAAGTTTTTTGGGCAGACTGCAATAAAAAAGGGTTGCTTTTTAACCGAGAGAGCAACATTTTGTCTCTTTTTTACGACGTGGAAATTGAGTTTGAAACTTTTTCTATTTTATTTATTTGTCCTGCTTGACATTTCGTTTATGATGGTGGTGGTGGAGGTACTGGTGGTGGTGACCTTCGATGAAAAAGGGTGACATTTATCCGGTCCAGTGACTCCGCCTCCACTTTTTTGTGTAGATATATTTCTTAATGGGAAATAATAGTCGAGCCATCTTTGCTTACTTCTGGAGTGAAAGTTGAATTTAATGAGACACATTATTTCCATACTTTATTAAGAATGAAAACCACCCAAGCGGAGAGTCGCCGCGCTGCTTATTTATTTACTTTCCCCATCATCGTGAGAAAATGAGGGCTGCTTTCACCATAAAATATAATTTGATACGCTTCTCACCTCCATTCGATCCCCTGATGGAATAGCTTTCATTTCACTTTCTCCCTACCCGTGAAGAAAATTTGAATGGTTTTCCTTGTCCGACCCACGACTAAATTTCGCACACTTTCACACCCACAACTACCATTTTATGATGATACCCGCTCTTATCGACCCGTGTGTGCTTATCCATTTATTTTATAAAATTCCACCATCCGTGTAAACTACGTGAGTGATGGAAGGATGCATGCAGGGTGTGCAGTTGGGGTGACTACACTTCCTAAAGATCAGATAATAACAAGATTCATAAAAAAGTACAAATATTGTGTGTATGAAATGGCCAAAGTTTCTTTTATACGGCTATTACCGCGAATAAAACATGCTTATCGACTCTCAGCTTATCACGACCACAATGCCGCGACGACATGAAGTAACTTGATCTCGCTATTGTTGCCTTTTAAAAGGGGTAGTAATATGTAATAAGGAAGCTTAAAAAGGTGGGTCAACTGCTCTTTTGTCACTCTTTGTCAACGCCGTTAGTTTCCTTTCAACGGATGCAGGCCATACCACCACCACACCCACCCTTCCAGACCCGCCTGCAATCTCATCCTCAGTCGTCCCATTTAATGGGGTGATGAGGATGGGATGCCACATTCGAAAAAATGGGAGGGTTATGCTATATTTCTGTTATGTTATGATCATGCCATCATCACGCTATCATCACTTGAGTCGAATAGCCATCATCATCCTTCTTCCATCCATTCTTTCCTTCCCAGTCAACCTTCACTTCACTTCTCTCGTAACCACCACCACCTTCCCCATTCTTACGGCTCCAACTTTCACGCGCCATTTCTCTCAGTGCAAGTCACCACCCTACATTTCTTCTTCTGTTATCCCGTCCCACCAGATTTGCACTCGTCTCGTCGTAGTAGATTCTCCGTGAATGCGTGGCGTAGAGTTTTAGTACAAAGTTGTGTCACGTTTCTCTAAAATTGCAACTTATTTCAATAAGTTGTTCTCTCTTCGGTTTGATGGTTTGGGTCAGTCAGTTCAGCTCAGTTGCAGACATGATAAATTGTAGTCGTCGTCGTCGTCGGCGAACCTATTACTTACTTACTTTGAGAGGACGGAGAGAAAGCAACCTTGTTTGAATTGACTGCTTTGATAGTGCATAGTCGTATATTTTAAGTCGTGGTGGTGGGGGCAGTATTGGGCCCGAGTGTCGTTGACAAAACAACAAGGATGTAGATGATGTTGGGTGGAAACGTGGCTAGAATCTCACTTCCTTAATCCAACTCAAGCAGGAGCAGGGTTGCTTTCTCCAAAAGCTTTGTATACCCGAAAATACGTAGGGAACCCTTCCATAGACGCGTTTAACATGTACATCCATCTGATTATTAGTTGTTGGGAGGGAGAGACGTGACTTTTTTCACAAGTGCTTAAATTAGCAAGGGCTGCAGCCAAGGCCGGTTCTAATTTATTTATTTATTTATTTACAAAGTAGTCGAGAGGGAGGAGACGGCTGTTCTGCCTCCAACTCGATTTCGCTTTACTTTTACTTCTCTTCTGCAACGGAGTTTAGAAGTGTGCTCGTACAGCTCGGTATACTTATGGAGCTCCGTAAGCACTTACACGAGGGAGTCCATGGAAATACTTCTTTGGGGAAAACTCTCAAATCTAAAAGGTCATTTTCTGCGAAAGAAGCATCGACACTTCCGTTCTCTGCTAAATATTCTGGGTCGTGATTCGGAATCATTATTGTGCAAGGAGAAAGGGGGCATATCATACTTTTTAGCCATCTTAAAAAAATACGAAAAAGTTTGCGTCCTCCGTAAGGAAAATAGTGCCTTGCAGAATATACAGGGTGGTTTAAATGTTTCGCTACATTGGAAAAGTTTGCAAAGGGAAAAGTCCCTAAACCTCGATTAGTTACGAGGATTTCAGATTGAGATTTTATTAATTATTAATTTTATTCAAATTGATGGAATACTGATAACAAAATTCTTGAAATGTTGAATTTCAGACATAAAATTTCAGGAACTCAAATTTACAAATTTATCCCATTAAAAAATTGTCCATTGTAGCGAGACATTTAAACCACCCTGTACATACACACGTGTGTACACCTTTTTTCTCTTTTATAATACTGGCAGAAGAGGGAAAGTAAGTGGCATATCGGAATAAATGAAGATGTTGTTCTAATTTTCCTTTGTTGTTGCTCATGTATGCATCGCACATATGCTTATTATTCCATGGTATTAGCGACAACAACAAAACATGTAGTTTAACAAGTAATATAATCTCAAGACTCAGATATATTGTCGTTCAAACCATGTCTTCTCTTTGTTGGTGTTTACGACCCAGTTCGTCATTTTCTTTTTGCTCCATGACCAAGACACAAACACAGAGGGACGTTTAGCAGATATTTTACTTTCCCCACAATAAAAAGAAAAAGAAACTGGTTTTAGTAGGAGAAATAGCAGCCAGCTCAGAGTTATGACGACTCTTGGATGGATGGAGATATGTACAGACGACAGATTTCATAAGCATATATGCACACACACAATAAACAAAACGGCTACTTACTTGTTTATTTTGCGGCGTTGTTGGTACTTTATTTTTTTCGAGGGGACAGAAACTACACAAATGGCGATATGAAAACAATTACACAAATTAATCTCACATAAGAGATTATATGAATGGTTATCATCAATGGTTATCATCATATTATCTCCAGTAAAGTACGTACTACTTTCTCATTTCCGGGTCACGTCACTTATGAACTCCGTTTGTGTCCCATCTTTCCGTATCTATTCAATAAGAGTGATAAGCTTACTACGAACTATAATCCTATATCCCGCCCATAAAGCGAATTCTTTCATTTTTCTTTGTAAAAAGGAATCAAATATTTCATTTATTATTCGCAAACTTTCCCATCGTAAAGTCCCGAGGCATCCGGCCTATGCGTACCAAATAAGTATTTCTAAAAATGCTCTACTCTCACTCCTGGGATTTCGTGCTAAACGCTATTTGCCAGATGATAACAAGTTTATTATGGAAGAATGGGAATATAAAAACTGAAATGTTTCTGCCAATTAAATTAATTTCAGAGAACAATGGAAGGGATATGTGGCCCCGTACCAGCCCGTCTTTATGGATGGGTGGTCGCCCACGATTCGAGACCCAAGTTCGTCCTCCGCAATTGGCGTGGTTGCTGCGGAAGCTGCGATGAGACGTCTTCAAGCCCAGCAGGAGGTAAGCAGTAGTTGTGTGTAGTTTCATAGTCGCCATTATTATTTCGTGGTGTGGCGTATGTGGTGGTGGTAAAGAAGAAATATTTCCCAGTTTTCCTAAGTGGTTCGTGGGTAAACCTAGCGCACACAAGAGGAGAAATTCCTCGTCATCCCTGCAAACATTTTCTTTTTAAGACGAGCAAAATTATTCAGTAGAAATGAGAATAGTTTCCGCCCATTATGGGAAAGGAATGCACTGCACAAGGAGCAGAGGAATCTCTAAAGTTGGATATGTGACCTTGTGTCATGAATTTCCTTAAAAGTTTCTTCTTCTTTTTTCTTCTCCCCAAATTCCACACCTACTCGTGGCAGAGAAAGTTATGTAAGAAGTGAACTCTATATTTAACCTGGAGCAGCACGAGGATTGATGAGGTTTCTGGTCGGGACAGAATTTTGATGCATTTCTCTGGAAAAATGATGACGCATGCAATCAATTTCTTTAAACGGGTCGAATCACCCTTGTTCCTTTTTAGTAGAGTGATCAACTAAAAATATAACGTTTTTCCCTGGCCAGGTGGAATGTGTGTACGAAATCTTAGTATTTTGAGGGCAAATTTAGAACTGCAAAACTTGCAGTTTCTCCTCGTATTCCGCAGGAGAGAAACTAATTCAGATATTTCCTAATTTCCTCATATTGATTTTGTTAATTACAATCCGTTCTATTTACGTCTTCTTCTCCTCCTCGTGCATGACGTAACTAATAATAACGAAATCTCTCCTTTGATACGCTTGATTATTCCGATCCACTGCCCGTCACTCAGCCAACCAGCCACGAGTTTGAAGAAACCAGAGGAGAGTAAAAGTGGACTGATTTAGAAATTTAAGTGTTTATTTAGCAGCATCAACATCATATTGCGCGAGTCAAACGCCACAAATAGAAGGCAGCAGGAACAGCACAGCAGCAAACCAAGTCCTCATCATCCACGCGATTAATCTCCCCCGTGGGAGGGAAAGGCAAAGAAAATCATCGTCGTCGTCGTACGTAGGCAGAGTCGTCGTCATCGTTAATTGCGGAGATCAAAGAGAAATCCGAACCCTTTGTAGTGGGGATGATGGAATGAGATGAGGAGAGAGATTTTCAACCTTCTCATCATCCCGCACCTTGTTCTCTCCTTCGACTGAGGTTTATTCTCCTCGAGTGACTTTTTCCTCCAACACAACGGCCTCCCTCCCTCCCTCCTCAAAATATCGACACACGACACGACGACGTTCCCTCCACTTCAACTGGAGTTTAACGTCGATAGCGTACTTACGTTACGACGATAACATTCCAGTTTTAAAGTTGGAGGAGGAATTACAAGCTTTATTTGTCAGAAGCGAGCTGGAGGCGACCCGTTAATTCGTGCTCCTGCGACACACCGACAACGTGTACATGAATTCATGTTTTGATGTGTAACGAGATATTTGAGGAGAGGAGGAAGTAGTGATTACTCAAGTATTGCCCATTATTGGCTTCATTAGAGACAGCGTGTGAGAAGGGGTGGAAAATAAATAGAGAAATTTAACACGGCTTTCACATCAGTGGACGGACGTGGAAGTGATCTGTTCATTTACAACTCTCTGGTCGTGTATGCGTTTGACTTCTTGCTACAAAGTCGGCTTTGTTTTCATTTCCTGGAGGAGGAGGCGGAGAAGAGGAAATTGCTCCTTGCTCAACAATGTGCTAATTACCTTTTAAATTACTACGTAGCAAACACACAATCCCCTCCGGTATTCGGGCAACACACTCAAACACCATCACCCGTTCTCATATTCCTGTACACATTTCACACAAAGGGATGAGGATCCTCTTTTAAAACGTAATTTGTTTCATGTCACAAAGACGGAAAAATTGGGGAGTTCCTTTTTAAAAGAAAGTGCCTCATTTCCACTTTCCCTCTGTGTATCATTCGCCTAAATAATAAATGAAGCCTTAACTGCCATCCACCACGTCGCGTACACTAGTTGACGTCAATGTCTGTACGTCAATGTCAAACAGACATCAAGTCATCATCAAGCAATTGTATTTTCTTAACTTATTTTCCAGGCTGGTTACTTGCAACAGCAGCAGCAGCAAAGAAACGCGGCGGCCGCTGCGGCTGCAGCGGCGGCGGAACGACAAGGGTCCGTTTCTCCGGTGGAAATGCCAGGAGATGATTTTGGAGCTGGTCAGCGTGCTTTCTTGGACTCTATTCGGTCCCGTGGAGGAAGAATGGTCGTCGTGACGCATCCCAGGACAAAGAACAATCACAAGGAACTCACCGTCGTCAGGGGCGAGTATCTTGAGGTGAGCAACCTTTTTAAAAGCGGTTTCTGCGAGAAATTACAGCAGGGAACGCCCCATTTATGCTGATACCGACTCCGTACACATCCTGCCTACATGCACCCTTCCCTAACATTATGTCCTGCTGATCATTGTAATAATAAGGGTCTGGCAATGAGTAGCTAGTCCCCGCAAGATTTATGGCAGGGTTGATTTATTCCAGTAGAGCAGACCGTCTTGAGGGATTTGGTGCTTCTTCTTCTTCATACGAAGAACAGACACATTTCTCGACTAGCTTTCTCATTCTGCATCGTTTTTGAGAATTTATAAAACAGCGAGAACGAGAGAATCATCTACCTCCATCTATCTTACCCTGGGCGTTGGAAAGAGAGAGATGTTGGAGCGATACATATGCACCACTTTCTTGCCCCCCTCGTTACGGTTTTATTTTAACGTGTAAAACCGTTTCAGCCTGTTTGTTTTGTTGTTTTTGGAATCGATTCCTCAGAAATTATGTATCTCTTGGGACCCGTCGAGACTGCGAGAGAAAGTTGTAGTAGTTGGAGCATTATTGTTATTTCGCTCCTCTCTCCTCTCCTCTCTCTTTTGGCGTAATGAAAGGGTACAAATTGGTGTTTAAACCCGATTTGTGTAGGGAAAGAAAGTGTGCTCCATTGCTCTATTTATTTCATTTCATTCCGTCCTACATATCAACGTGCGAGTATGTATTTCAAATGCGCTCATAAATCTGTCTCGGGTTAAGATCCCAGCTTTTATTGCTTTACTCATTGGATGGACATCACATCCTTCTGCTCTATCTCCATTATTATTGCTTGCTTGCATTTTGATTTCAAATTGCTCCAGTATGTATTCCACCATCCCTGCTGATTATGGCACAATATACCCTCCCATAAATTTACCCTTTGAAGGGCTCGGAAAATAAGGAGAGCCAAAACTTCAAAGGAGATCGATCTCTCTCCTTCTGGTGCAAAATGTGGCCACATTTTTCAAAACTAAACGGTTTGGAAGTAATAATTTTGACGGGGATTGTTATTTAACCGGGTTTTGTATTCTTCTTTCTCACATTATTTTTCTCACGAGTTAAATTTCTCCGGAGAAAAATTGTGGACATGATTATGGTGGCGAGAAGGGTGTTAATTTTGTTAATGAGCGGTTTTTCTAATCCCCTTAAGTTCTCGGATACAAGGGGAACATTATAAATAAAGTGAATTAATGGAAAGGGTACAATTTAACGGAGCATGACCTCGCTACGTAACTATTTATTACGCTTGTGGGCTATGCATTTTAGATTGTATTTAGTAACGACTAGATTTATTGGGTCGTTTAACAAATGATGAAATATTATCGCTATCCATAATAAAACACGAAATGGGCGCTTCGTTTTAGAAAGTGTGCTATTTAGTTTGAAGAAAATAAATCGGAACGATTCGTTTACTTTTTACAGGTGCTGGACGACACGAAAAAGTGGTGGAAAGCTAGAAATTGGAAGAATGAGATGGGATACGTCCCTCACACGATTGTTTCTCCGTTGAGCGAATATCCACAAGTAATTTGGGACACAAAATTATATTCCCTAAAAATTTTAAGATTGTGGTGAAAATGTTTCTAAAATGATGATTTTATGAAATTTTTAGCAGGACTATCCTGACAACGGAAGATCAGGTATGAGTACATGCAAAAATATTTTATTACATTTATGGTTTTTTATGTATCCATCAACAATTTTCATAGCTTTCTTCTCTCGTTTCATTGTTACGTTGTGTTTTGTAACTTTGTGTTTCTTGTCGCCTTTTTTAAGGATACTCTGGATACTGATGTCGAAAACCGTACACAAAATTTGCAAGCACACAACACACGCGTCTTACTCCTGTCTGTGTCCGTAAATGTCCTGTTCGTTCTCTTCATCTGCAGCCTGCTTATCAATAAATGAATCTTATACTCTGCGGCACTTGGCTACTTACAAACATGTCATCGGCAGCAATATGAGTACCTGCTGGTTGTCGCAGTTTACTTGTCTCAAAGACTTGCAAAAATCTCAACTCATCCCCTGTGCAATATTGTAAGATGTATGTGAAATTGATCAGATAGGTCTTTGAAGATGAGCAAAATTCCCGAGACAGAGTACGTATGTAGTAATGTGTAGTAGAAAAAAGCAGAGTTTTTATGGTTCGTGTCCTAAAACGTATCATATTTTATATTTTATTTTATTATTTACTTAATAAGGAAAGAGAGCAAATGGAAAGTGTTAATTAAGTAAAAGGCTGAACTTTTTAGGAAGGATTATGTATGAAGAAAACTGATGATACCCATAACCAATTGCCAAATGAATGCTAGAAAAAAATTATGATCCATATTTTAATTATTAATTAGCTTAATTAAATTAAAATGGTGATGACGGGCAGAGTAAAAAATACATAGCTTAATTATTAAGAGTAATGTTACATGGTAATATTTTGTGTAATATTTTATGCAGCTTTTCATATATATATTTTTCAGTCTCCTATTCTATATGCAAATGCAATCATGTATCGTCCTCCTCCTTAAATTTGTATCAGGGGTAATCTAATCCTCTATTGTATTCATAAATTCGTTGTATGATTTTAAGCAAGGAGATTGTCATTGGTTGCTTAATTGTGTGACCTCGTCCTCATCTTATAAATGTACGACGACCAGGTTTTTGTGCTCATAAAATTAGTGAGATCATTTCCTATCGAGTAATTATTTTACTTTATTTTTATTATTGATAATCAATCATGCATATGTAATAAGTAAAACATTTTGATGCCGAAAATGGTGTGATATGCAACAAAAAATTCAATCAGAATGATCAATATTATTTATAATAGTTCAATCCACACCATGTTTCGTAATAAAATAAAATTGATGACGATATACGTATAGTAAAGTAACTCTATGTTGTTGTCTTTGTGTTTGTCCTGTATATAAATATTTCAGCATACATACTTTAGTATTTTGCATGTTTAGAGACATGACAAATCTGGCTGGATTTTAGCCTGGCTTGAATCTACGTTAAGCTATCCTTGAATTATTCATGAAAAGCTTTTAGACGACGTGGCGTAGATGGGATGAAGAGAAAGTCCAAATTTTTGGGAACATTTGTCCCACTTTTTTATATCTCACTATTAATAATACGAAACTAAGTTGATACGTAACACAGGGCCCATTCACTTCTTTTTTAGATTACCATTTTTGAACCTAGATGATGAAAAGTGCAAACGACAAGATTTTAGTGGTCTGGAGGTATGTACACGGTGTCACTTTTACAATATCGTCTACTTTCTGGCGTGGACTACCACAATGTAAATTAGATGAGGAAAATAATTAAGGGTAGCGGCGGCTTGTGCCTAATTAATTAGATCCACTTGGGTGAAATTGTGGTAATTAGAATATGTAATTACTGACCAGAGAAAACTCATCAAGTCTCTTCTTCGTGGTGGTTTTGCGGTTGTGGAGTAATTTTGGGGTGCTAGTGGTGGTGGTGGTAGTTTTCTGTGTAGAAAGGTGGGGAAAGTAGAAATGTCCCTTAATTTTACTAGTTTGAAGTAGTGCCAAGCCAACAAAAGAGGGAGAGGAAATTAAGGGTCTCCTCTCCTCCTGCTTTTATTGTAATACATTTAACCTGATAGGCGAGGTAAATAAATTGCTTTTGTGGTTTCGCTTTGGTAGAAATAAGTCAAGTAATGAAATTACGTAGCAGGAAGAATGTGCAGCAGATTTGATCAATGCGCTTCTTGCCTTTACATCATCCTGCTTTCCTTGGAACAAAATTAGTAAATATTCCATGAATTAACGTAACATTCACAACGTTTTAGGTCGGTGGTCCTCACCCAGCTCGACAATCAGCTCGGATGACGACTTTAACTACAGCATGGACAAGTCGCCACCACCCCCACCGCCGCAACCATCCGGACGCAACGCTCTCCCGGCCCAGTCACCCAACAAGAAGAAACGTAAGGAAGTGGAGGAGGCTAATAATAAATAAAATAAGTGTCATCTTTGGTCCTCTCACCCTCCTTGCTCGCTGCACGGGACCGAAATATGCATATGTATTATTATTAGTGTATAATTTGTGTCTACTGACGCACATTTCTCTCCTCGTATCGGGGAAGTGATCAAATGAGAAATCAGAAATTTATGACAAGCGCTTCCTTACTCGACAGGCAGTATATTCGCCCCTTCTTGTTTGGTAATAATAGCGTCTTGCGGTTTCTGGCTGGATAATAATAGCATGCATAATAATAGCAACCCGGCATAAGTTATGTGGAGAAGGAGGACAGGGGAACTGAACGTAGAGGTCAGATTAGAGAGGGAGGACTTCAACTTTTTGTAAATATTTTTTCGTTACACTTCCAGCCACCAAACGTGTGAACTGACGGCGTCAGTTTAACTACTTGATGGTTAGAATTAGGCGACTATGCTGTCATTTTAACAGCAACGTCATTTGTATCTGCATGAAAATTGTTTTTCCTTTCATCATCCAGAAGTTAAATACCAGTAAGAAGACACAATATTACTTTGTTTTCATTATTTTGAAAATTAATTATAAATCTTATAGTTCCATATTTGTGGTGCTTTACTTTACAAAATCGCCCACGCTGATGCTGGCAATTTCCAAAGTATCAAAGTTTTCGCATTTTGTGTTGGTAATAATGTCGAGATGGGAGTCCACTTCTCAGCCTGATGCACTTATGTATGAAAATTGGATCTCTAAAACTATGCAAAACACAGCATGAGGGAAAGATGCAAATTACTATTGGATAGTCGCACAGTGCAATTCGACACATGTAAAACAACAGAGCCTGTGTTCATATCAAGTCACTGAAGTGTACTTAGTAGTTCCTAGTAGTTCCTACGACATTCTGGCTGGTCGTCTCAAGTACGAAGACAATTTGTTTATAAATATAACTTCCCTTTGTTCTCCGCTTTCTCTCCGGTTAAATAACCCGTGTTAGATTTATGCGTGAGATGATATCAAAATGTCGTCGTCTTGTTTTCACTCTTGTTGAGAATCAACATTAAATGAGTCGGAAGCCGCGAATGACATGAAAAGAGTTATTATTATTATTTAGAATTATTAAATAAGACGTGCTTTATTTTTGTATTCCGTTTCTTCCCCAGCTCGGGATGACGATCTGATGCAGCAAGAGTTGAAGAACGTGCTCACCCTCTTCCGAGAAAAGAGGAAGATTGAGATCCAGAAGACTCCCGAAGTCTTCATCAACCAGCACTCGAGCGTGGATGAGGTCCAGGAATGGTTGAAGGTGAAGGGGTTCTCGGAACGGATAAGGAAACAGTTGTCCAATATGAATGGGAATGAGCTGTTCAGTTTGAAGAAGGCACAACTTGAGGCGTACTGTGGAAAAGATGAGGGTCGCAGGTTGGATTCGCAAATCACGATTTCCAGAATATCTACAGGGGTGCGTGGTATCATAGATTATTAATTTGTTGTTAAAAATAGTGCAATTATTTCTATAATTGAACTTTAATTTTTTAGTTCAAAACGACTCGATCGTCGGAATTGAGAGCAATTCTGGCCAAAGCACGTGCTAAAGTGGAATTGGGCAGTTTTGACGTGAAGACCACGTCTCCCTCGCCGGAACCCGTGTACACGCCACCAAATAAGTATGGGAGTCGGAACGGTAGTTCCTCAAACTCCAACCCGACCAGCCCCACACCGAAACCGATGGGCATGATGAACAATAACAACAATAAGAGTCCGGCGAGTAAATTTAAGCCAAAATCGAGATATGACGATGACTCGGATGACGCGCCGGTCATCAATTTTGGACTGTCGGATGAGTCAGACGACGAGTCGGATGACGGCAGGACCAATGATAAGGGAACTTTGGGGAACATGTTGAAAAAGAGGAGGGGCGAAATTTTAAGGAAATAGAGGCAATTATTAGGTCAAAGTTGATACACAAATTTACTTTATTCAACTTATGAAGCTTATGCTAAAAATTTTCAGGATTTTAGACTTGCTTGAAATACGTAATTATGTAATTTTACAGTAAATACACGTAATTATTAATGGATGGTCTAGAAATTACAACGAATTGACAAGGTGCGAAGTTAAGTTTTATGCAACTCTGAAATTGATTATATGAAATTTTATTGAATAAATATATTATTACATGACAATTCCTTCACCGAGGTAGGCTAATTCTTCAAGTAAAACGTGGATCATTAATAATTAAACTATCCATTTTACTCGTGAATTATAATTCTCCAGTATGGCTTTGTCACCTTCTGCACATATGCAACAATAAGAATTACGACCCATTTCAACTGTGATGTCAACCATGGAATAAGAAATACCTTTCGATTTCAACTATCACCTTTCGAGTGTTAGTGGAACACATTCTTCAGAGTACGAATTCATTGACTTCATATATCATTCATGCAATTGTCATTTCCCATTATCAACCGAGCCAGACTTTATGGAATAATCATGTCCCTCCTGATAACTCTCGTTAACCTCATCCTATCAACTTGAAATTTGGTACACATTAGGGAATTGGTCATATTTACATACTACACTGAAAATATAATGTCAACAATCAAGGCAAGCTATGTAATAGACGACTATGAAAATACGAATTATTAAAAGCTTTTGCTATGAAAACGAAACTATGAAAAGAATGAGTATGAATTGCATGGCACCGCAGGAAAAATGGTCCTAGAAGGCTGAAACTTGACGTGATGCAACAAATTTCTTAATTGACCCAGCAGGCTGACACAAACTAGTTTTAAAAATTGTTCGAAAAAAAGCTGAAATTTTCCACCCTGGATTATGAAAACAAAATTAGGATTACGAATAATATGTTGGGTCATCTGACAAAAAATTAGAAGCAGACTTTGACCTTGACTTGCATTAAATCAACATTGCAATAATATTTACTATACTGATCTTATCATAACATGTGATACATAAACCAACTCATGTTATGTAAATTAGAGAAGGAGACTCTACAAACATTTGCAATCTAATTTAAGCAAGCAGCATAGGTACATGGTTTCGACAGAATTTGCACATCTTAGGTTTCTATTTGCATTGGTTCTTCATATTTTTTCGATTTTTAGGAAAATACAATTTTTGCTTGTCTCCTAAAAGTAAAATTACATTTAAACGCATTTATCATTCATTTATCCAACTTTAGGATCAGTTTATGCATGATTCATCATCATTTGACGATGCCACAGGATGCCTCCGATCCAACCTTCACGCACACAATTCGTTCTGCTCATCAGCTGCGTAACTTCGCAGTTGTACATATTTAGTTAGATTTCTCTCTCTGACAAAATATTTCCTTCCATAAATAATTCGCCCTAAAAGTATTTTTCAAATTTTAGTTTAATAACTTTTTTTGTTTGTAAATCAAGGTTCTTGGTGTAAAATAAATAGTTTGGTTGATTTCTGTTGGTAGCCGTGTTTGTGTTAGTTGATTGTTCATTTCTTTTGTGGTATTTGATTTGGAATTTGAAACAATTTGAATTGGAAATTGTGAAAGCTGTAGGTTTATTAAAAATTAATTGTATACCAGAAAATTTTTGACGGGTGACAGGTGAGATTTAACTCTATTTTAGTCATGTTTATAAGCTTTTAGACTGTTAATTTGCAATAGTATCGGGTTGACCTCAATATAATAGTCGTCCGTTTTTTTCTTTTAGAGGGCTTGATTTAAAGGTTAATCTGAACACTGAAGGGAATATTTCCACTCAAATAGTCAAAAATGACGATAAAGGCCATCCTGTACACGGTAATTGCCCGTGGATCTACCATCCTTGCGAAATATGCGTCATGTGCTGGTAACTTTTCGGAGGTCACAGAGCAGATTTTGGGCAAAATACCACCCGAAGATTCGAAACTCACGTATTCTCACATGTCATACTTGTTCCACTACGTCAAGGAAGATAACATTACCTATCTCTGCATAACGGACGATGTAAGGAGAACAATACAAGCATATTAATATTAATACCCTGAAGGGGCGTTTCCTTCATGGATTACTGTTTTGGTAGGTTTTTCGTTTCAGATATAATTTTTAAAATGCATTTTTTTGTATTGTAGGACTTTGAACGAGCTCGAGCCTTCCAGTATCTTGCAGATGTTAAGAACCGATTTGAACAAACGTACGGCCGACCCAGGATCCATGAGGCCCTTCCGTACGGAATGAATTCAGATTTTTCGCCATTATTGGCATCAGAAATGGTGAGATAAACGATAGTAATATTGAAAGTGCTCATTGTGCATATGTTAAAGTTTCGAATTGTTTTTCGAAACAGAAACGCTACTCTGAATCTCGGGATTCGGACACTTTGTCAAGAGTGGAAGGGCAGCTGGAAGACCTGAAGGACATCATGGTAAAAAATATTGGTAAGTTTAAGTTAATGAGATGTATTTATTTATTTATCGTCTTATATTATAAATCATGAGCAATTATGTTGTTACAGATAACATTGCAGCTCGTGGAGAGCGATTGGAACTTTTGGTGAACAAGGCTGAAAATCTAAATGCCACCGTAAATAGAATATTTACTAAATTTTGAGGAGTAACGTATCATGCAGTTATTATTTATTACGTACAAATATTTCATTCATAAATATATAACAGTCGGTGTCTTTTCAAAAAACGAGTTCCAGCCTGGCTCGAGCAATGTACTGGAGAAATATCAAGTTTTACGTGATTTCTGCTCTAATCGTAATTGTAAGTTGTTGTTTTTATAATTACTCCACTTTAGCGTATACGTGCTTATTCTTACTTCAAGGAATTATTAAGCGGTTGGTTAGTTAACCTAACCCCTCTTACATACTTAACTGATAACGTAAGTATGTAAGAATTCCCAAGTAGCTGCATGCATATGTTAATCTTAATTCATATTACTTGAAGATTGATTTATTGACAGTACTTATTTAAATTAAATGATTAAATATAAGACTCATTAATAAAAATATTGAAATATTGAAGTTAATACAAATATGAAATGCCAAGGTTAACTCATTAACTAAAATACATTGAATGCATAGAGCAATGTTCAATCAAACTTTGACGTGATAGATACAACAGTGTAGTGCAGTGTAGATGGACAGAATAACACGAATCAAAAATTCTTATGTACACACGCTATGTCTATATACTGATTGACTTATGGATTACTGCTTAATGGAATTTTATCCACTGTGATTATACATTTATTTGATGGTTGGTTCATTTTATTTGGGGCCACGATATGCTATTTGCTTAATGTTTTTTAATAACCACAATGCTGATTCACGATTTGTTTTTTGTTGTGTTTTTTTCAGCTCATCATCTACATCATTGTGTCAATGTCATGTGGTGGATTAACTTGGAGTGGATGCATCTCTTCGGGAGGAAGTTCTAACAAGAATTCGACTACTTCTCCTTGATAAAATCGCGATTCAAGAAAAGCAGAAACTCTTCACTACGCTGACGATAACTTCCTTCCACTCGTATCACAATCAACTCTTAAGTAAATTCAAAGAACTGCTCTATATATTAATATCGCGTGTAAATCGGGTCCCCTCTCTCTCTGGAATAATATATTGTCATTGTTTAATATTCACTACTATCCTGTCAAGGAGAATGGGTAACAGAACACGTACACTATACATAATAATTATACGAGGGCGTTAATTAACATGTCAGTGGAACACAATCCAAGACGAACTATTCCTTGGGTATTGATTGAAATGAATTCTTTAACTGTGCTAGCTCATAAATATATCTATTTTCTGGTACTGTGTACGTAAAATTCAAAAATATGTTACGACTCGAATATATTCTGTATACGTACTTTCACTTGGGCTAATTATCTCACTAGGGATTAATTATCTGATTAATTATTATTAAGGTAATGGGTCCTATTGGCTCATGAATTTTTTTGCACTTGTTAAGTAAGCTGGATCCATCTCAATTGTTACAGCTATATCTTAATATCTCTAGAAAAGTAGCAGTTACACAAAACGAGTGATATTTTTCCTGGAAACAATTTTTAATGTCCCTTCTTACTCGTTTGTACTGAATATATTCAAATCTAAAAATGTATCAAAATTAGCTACATATTTCTTTGAAACACTACATATTTATATACTCGCATAATCGCTTTGCCATATGACAAAACTTATATTATCATTATTTAGTTAAACCTCTGTAACTACAGTCTTGATACCTTTTCTTACTAAATATACGTTCGCCCATACAAGCCTCACCAATTTATGATGTAAAATTTACTGGCATAATTGTTACACAAAATGTATCCTAGTAAATTTCAACTTATCAACCATACATACTTGTCCAGACTTTCACCTCATTTTCTCTGACAGACTTGTTTGTTGCATTGTGTCTTCGTCCAGCCACAGAAGACCTGGAACATCTAACTGGCTTTGACATATCGGAGGAGTCTATCCATTTCGACGTGACAGGACCAGGAGATTGAACCGTTTCACACTTCAGTCATCATTTCTGAGGTAAAGTGAGAGACGGATCCGTAACTTGTGGACCTCGTACAGATTCGAGTTTGCGTCCTCTCACTTTTCTCCTGCTTTTTCTTTCTCTCCGTCTAAACCACCCAGCCCAAGGAGAAGAAAGAACACTTTCACTTTCCCACTCCTCCTCTCCGGCTCAACAACGGCTCCTCCAGTTCTTGAACTTTTTTTCTAGCAGACGAGTCGCCACCTGATCGCCACCCTGTTTCAAGAAAGACCTTCAACTTTCACCCTCCGATTTAATTGCCCAGTCAAACTTTGTGCATGAATCATCACCTCAGTTTCGCAGGAATAGTCGTGTTCCTTCGGGAAAGTGATGGATATCCGGAAATCCTTCGATTCTATTCGATTTCTAACAACGAGGTGAAAATGTAGAGATTTAAATTCCCTTGAAATGATACCATTACGAAATTATTTGTCTGGAGCGGGGGGATGACTGACATGCATTATTCCTCGAATAGAGCTGCTTGCACCACCGTTTCCCTAGTTCGCCAGAAAGTTTCTTGTATTATATTAGCCAGCTAGCTAGCTAACTACTATTTCGTGATTTAAATCGTTGTCGGCGGTGGTGGTGGACTTTAGACGAAAACTTGTTTCTAAAAAGATAGTCATAAATTTATTATTCCTTATTGAGACGAAAGCTGCTATCCTCATTTCTTGCCATGTTCGTCCGGCTTCTCTCCACGATTTGGGCCTTCTGTTGGATACTGTCGAATACGAGGTGAGAAACTGATTCATTATTTGTATTTAATTTTAGACGTACTATCGTCATTCATTGTCGTCGTCGTCATCTTGAATTGTCATGTGCGAAATAAAAGAAAGGTTTGTCATCGCGTCAGTCGACTGGAGATGACGCAACATGCAAAATCGGTTTAGAAACTTTCACGGAAGGTGAAAGCATATGTATTTATATCGTGAAAGGGATACAATAATGCATCGTGTTAAACGTACATATGCACCCCATTCGTTATTAGTGAGTAGGAAGAAATACCTTAACGGTTCCACCATACGTACTCGTCGATCTTGCTGCTATTTCTGCTATAAAGGACATGAACAAGAAGAAGGATGAGCGTCAATCAGAGATTTTCTCTACTTTTACTCTCCTCAAGCTACTGAGCTGAGAATCCATCCGGTTAATAAGCAGCGTCGTCGTCGTCGTCGTCGTCGAGACATCGTTCACCTAAAAACAATTCATCCTTGTCAAGTCATCAACTAACTCTGCTTTCCCTCCTGCTTCTGATGGAAAATCCATTCACGAGATGAACTCACGTTTTGTTTCTGGGCTCTTTTTCCAGTCTATAATTTTTATACGTATTATCACACCGGATAAGTTTCCCTTGTAAATTAACCCATGCAGATGATCAGCTATAAATAGGTACATAGGTGGTAGTGGAATCGTCTTATTTGATCTCAGCAGGGTGCCAAGTCGGAAATGAAACCAGTCCTCAAATCCTTATTACCTCGGGCACATAGATATGTACTTATCGACCTGATTTATGTATCGTCTTAACTAAAATGTCCCCTTCCTTCCATAGAACACTTTCCCTACAAGAATTTTCCACGAGAAGGGACTAGTTCCCAATAATATTTTCTACTTTCTTGGTACACTTATGTGAATATAAATTGTACATTCCTCGTCCTCCAAGTTCTCTCTCCGCATGTAGCCAACCAAGTTGTCTTTGATGTTTGTAATATGTTCGTCCAAATTTGACTGAAATGAAAAACAAGCTTCTTCTTTTTTTCTCTCCGTCTTTTGCTAAAAGCCTGAAACCAAATGAAATCTGGGCCGAGAGAAGCAAGGCATGAGAAAAGAGCAGACAATAATAATACGCGGAAATAAGATGACATGCTTCACTTCACGGCATGCTTGGCTTTCACTTTGAATATTTCTTGGCAACAGACAGCACCACGGACGGAGGGCTCGCGAGACCAACTTCTTATTTCCTTTTCTGAAATGAAATTGGAAAATTATGCACATGTCATTGTTTATTCGGTGTAATTTCGAAATTGCAACTTTTTTCGAGTACTTTTTCTATATCTGGGTGGTTGCATACATAGATTTTGCATGTATGAAAAGATGATAAAATCATGTCAGGAGAATTCGACACATTCGCCCAGAATACTAAACTCGTGTCACGTGTTGATGATCTCGTCGACGATAATGAACTCCTCCAGATAACAACATCCCAATTATGCAAAATCGAACCTAAACCTGGCCTAATTCTATTATATTCCTATTTTTGTGCACAGAGTGTTTTGCGGGAGGACGGCGAATGACAAGTTGGAAAATGTGACACAAACTATCGCCCAACTCCTGACTGGGTATGACATCCGTCTCCGGCCAAATTTCGGAGGTGAGTATTGACACGATGATTGCATAAACCATGTTTCCATGTAAGCATAAGTAAAACTACATAGATGCAAACTCACTCGGATTACATACCTTTCCCAAATTTCCGTCCTCTCACTTCTAATTAAAACCAAAGTTTGTGTCACTGCTGAAAGGCGAGAGAAAGTGTAAAAGCGAGTGGTGAAAGTAATTTGGGCAAAATTTCGAGAGAGAGAAAGTCCGCTACAGAGATAGATCGATGGAAAGTATGAAAACCTAGGCTCGACATCACCATCATCATCATCATCCCATCAAGTAACCACTTAACCAATCCTGCCCCGTGTCGAGACAGCACTTCATCCGAGAGAGCAGAGGAGGCACACAGAGAATGGGATGAGAGGACGTCATTCATTAACCCGCAATACCACGACTATTCCGACGACATGGTAATAATAATTGTGTGTCACACACAAAAGGAAGAAGCTGCGACTCACTCAGGAGGAGGAGGAGGAAGGCCTCGCTCTTACTTAATCCTTATAAATATATACGTCCCATCCTGCCAGAACCTGCTTTCTCTGACAGCACAAAAGGTTCTATGTCCCTCCCTCCAGCCTTTTTCCACCACGCCACGCCACCCAAAGTAATCGGACATGTAGTAGTAAAAGTATCTAGCTGTCTGACCAGAGAAACGCGCAAACCGAGAAGAAGAAAACAACCAACGGTGATAATAAACATAGGATTTATTCCAGTCGTGAGGTGCGTACGGGGAAAAAAAGTAGGTTTGCATTACGGGATTGATTCCAGACTCCCGTGTTTCGCGATGGTGAAAACTTTACAGCGTAACTGGACGAGAAAAGTAATAAATAAATGTTAAAAATGTACAGAATTTGTCCAAAAAGAGGGAAAGAGGTATCTTTCTAGAGACGCTGATACATAGGTAGCCAATAATAGGACCCAGAGTCAGACACTATTTTTGCCTCGCTTTGTCCCTCACCAGCCTTGCATAATGGAAAGGCCTCGGTGAAAGCAGGGTTGGTGGTGGGTTGGAATATTCCAACATGAGGCAAATGGTCCTCTTTCTCTCATATCCTCCTCTCCTCTCCTAGAATCGGAGGCAAATTGCTCTCCTCATTCCCAGAAACAAGCTTTCTCTCTCTCTCTTATTTGCCAGCTTTTGGATTCTACAGAAATGAGACCAACTTGGTGGTTGTTGACAGTTTGGTTTGGTTTCAGGGCCACCACTCGATGTCGGAATGGACCTAACGATCGCCAGTTTCGACCACATCAGTGAAGTCAATATGGAAAGTCAATCTTTTATATTTTGTAGCAATTTTTCATAATTTCAGTGTAATTACCCAGGCCTTTGACCACACTCTAGGGAAACGACGGTCGTTTAACGACCCTTTGTTACCCCCGTCAAGACCAGACGTTTACACTCCTACTCATCTTTTAACACATATCTAACTGCCAATTTTAGCAGATTATCCTTACCAAATGCCCCTATTATGACATGGCTTAGAGAGGTTTTTTGCAATAAATTGCTATTCCATGCCTTCCAAAAAAGTCATCATGTCTTCACGGGCATGGAATGTCGCTAATGTTCCAGTCAGAATCAGGAAACAATTTGTTGAGTCGGTCATGACGAAGAGTTGCCTGTGGGTAAAGTTGGTAACACGGGATTCGTGATGAACCTCGCACAATCCCAGTACATCAAATCCTATTTCGCTTGGAGCTGCCATAGTTGAACACATTTCACATCTGTCAGTCCTTCTAAATTAATGCAAACAGCAGTTAACAAAGGTTTCTCAAGTTTTGTCAGTGTCAGACCACTTTCATTCGTTAATTTCTATTCTTCTTCTTCCACTTTCCTACTCCAGCTCCTTTCACCACCTTTCACTTGGTGCATCCCAGGGCACCTAAACTTTTTTTGCTGTCCATGATTCTCGTAAGGGGGTGATACGAGTATGAAATTTTTGGTAAAAAAATGCAAAAATTAAAAGTTTAAGAATTTCATGTAATTTTCCCATGAATTTGGTTATCAGCCACATTCAGAAATGTGATGAATAAATAAATCTTATCCCGGTCTTCATCTCTGAAGAAGAGAAATAAAGTTAGAAGATTGATAAGATCGTGTGATTAATAACCTGGGCAACCACTATAGTCATATAGGTCGGGTGAGGTCGTTGATGCGGAAGACCATAATTTGTAAAAGTTTGTTGGCAACAAAATTCAAACAAAGATTGCATGCAATTCTCCAACTTTTAGTTTTTTCATTTTTTTAAATAAAACATTTCATACTTGCATCACCCCCTTAGGAGAACCACATACAACAAAAAAGTTTAAAAGTTGGGTGCATCCATTTTAATACGAGTGTCAGACAGATCGAATTATAGACTCTCGTACTCAGATTGCAAGTTTGCAAGAGCTTAAAACATCTTTGAAAACTGCACGGTTGGGGTGATTAGTCTAACGTCATAACCTGGACGCATGGTCAGACCTGTCTGTTCCTCCTTAGACGGGATTATTTTAAACAGGTCTGCGGTCTCTCCCCCTCAACGTCCAAGTGCCTCCCCCAAAGTTTCATTATACAAAGTGAAGTTGATTCATATCTCCCGCTTAATGGGGTCCCCTGATGACCACTGCGTTCCGTTTCAGTACAGCCACGACGAATGTCAACTCTCTCTTATATTCTAATATTGATTAATTATTTGCTCAGCAAGTCGACCAAAATCCTCATTACAGTTCCAATTTATTTCGAGCTGGAGGCCATTCCCCTCCATTAAGAGACACAAACACTTTCACTCAGAGACACGGCCAGTCACTTACTCAATAGTCAAGTGCTCGAGATCCTTCTCCACTCCGACTCACTCGCTGCCTGACTCGCCTGATGAGGCCAGCACACCAAACAAAGAAACATAAAATACGACAGTCTTCCAATTTGTTCCCTTTCCAAATGAATGGCACGGATAACAAAAAAGAGGCATCAAAAATGAAAGGAAAGTCGAAGAAAGGAACGAATGCATAACGCACAGCGAACAAAAAACTGCAGGAACCAGTGCCCGCGGAAGCCGTGGGGACATTAACATTGTCGGATAGGGGAGGGCGGGGTTTATATAATATGGGCAAGAAGATGATGGGGACATTGTCCCTCTGTCCCCACGCTTCCGCGGCCACTGGATCCATCCCTCTTATAACTTTCTCCCTCCATTTTATCATCTTTTTGATATTGCACAGTCTGACTGAATGTCATCTCAACTCGTATGAACGAGTCGTGTAGAGATCTATTTGAGGGAGAAGAAGAATAGAGAAAGTTGCATTGATTTCTCCTCTTCGAAAAATGCTGCTGTTCCAACAGGGCCATTTACATGAAATCAAATGAGCTTCCGGCATAAAGGATTCCGATACTGGTGTTCTTCTCTCCGTTCTCCCATGAAATCGATTACTTTACTTTCCAGCATACAAAATATGCTCGGCTTTGGGTACGTCCCAAAATTGTCAAATTGAGATTTATTCATTCATGCTGCTCCTTAAAGTGGAGTACTTGGTGGTTATCTTAGATCCCTTTTGAATATAAAATTGTGGAAATAGGAAAAAAGTTTGAAGCACTCTTGATCACACCTTAATGCTAAAGTCACGTAATAATGGGCTGGTTCTGCATGGAAAAAGGTACCCTGCTTCTTGTCGGAGGATCTAGTCGTGGTCTGGGCTGTTATGAAATCGCGAGCTTGCACAGACATTTAGAATCACTACCTACCGACACATTTAGAGGATGTCTAGGAATGAAGGGTTACAATTTCTGAATTTTTACTCATGTAAGTTAAGGAGTAGACATTTATACCGTTGGTATTTTCTGGATCCTGCATGAAATACGTTTCGTGAAACGGGACGATTGATTTGATGGATTTTAGTCGAACACTTTTTTTTAAACATTTGTACAGTTGTTTTTAGTCAGGTATTTTTGTCAGTTCGTGTAGTTTGGGACCGTTTATACTTATAAGTCTAGGTCCTGTATATTTTTAATTTTAGTGACAGAGCAGTTTTATGAGTTCTTCTAGAATTTTTTACCCCATTTTTGAATCATTAGAAATACATACTTCTGGTTTTCGGATCCTCGAAGGTTTGTCACAAAACCAGCTCACATGAGTTGTAAGACTTTGCTTTTCCCATGTTTCCCACGTCATTTTTTACCATTCATTCCTAGACACCCTCTAGTTCTTCGGTAGGACATCGATGGGACAGGAGAGGAGACGGAAAAGTGTAAAGTTTTATGGTAAAATATCTCTGCCAAGTTTCTCGCCGCATATTCTTTTTATCTGCTTCACCATCCTCCGGTGGTGAAAGTTTATTTGGTGGAAAACCGTGCCCTGCTTAAATTTTTGCTCTTACACTTTTTTTACAGGACTACACAATCACCATGTATCTCAACCAGTACTGGAAAGATGACCGTCTCTCTTTCAGCACGAATGACGAGGTTCTCACGCTTTCTGGCGATTTCGCCGAAAAGATTTGGGTACCGGATACTTTTTTTGCCAACGATAAAAACAGGTGGGGTTTCCTCTACATACTCGACTGCATAATGTGAAATGGGGAATTTGAGACATTTCTCTTTCTCCAGCTTTCTCCACGATGTGACGGAGAAGAACAAAATGGTTCGGCTGTACGGCGATGGGGCCGTAACGTATGGGATGCGGTTCACCACAACGTTAGCCTGCATGATGGACCTGCACTATTATCCGTTAGATTCACAGAATTGCACCGTGGAAATTGAGAGCTGTGAGTATCGATTTTAAGGAAAAAATAAACTTTTTGTGTCGTAATTTCACCCAGAGTGATTAACTGTCTGGTGGTTTTAGATGGGTACACCGTCTCGGATGTCGTCATGTACTGGAAGGACACTCCCGTCGTGGGTGTGGAGGAGGCTGAGTTGCCACAATTCACAATAATGGGGTATGAAACCAATGATCGGAAGGAAGCCCTGGCCACTGGGGTATACCAACGTCTGTCACTCTCCTTCAAACTGCAGAGGAACATTGGCTACTTCATCTTCCAGACGTATCTCCCCTCCATTCTGATCGTCATGTTGAGCTGGGTCTCCTTCTGGATCAATCATGAGGCCACGAGTGCTCGTGTCGCGTTGGGTAAAATGTGGCAATGTTTCCTTAAAAATTTATGGGTGCTAATAAATTGCTGCTTTGTTTTTACCAGGAATAACGACTGTGCTTACGATGACCACAATCAGCACGGGAGTGCGGTCTTCCCTGCCCCGGATTTCGTACGTGAAAGCAATAGATATCTACCTCGTGATGTGTTTCGTCTTCGTGTTCGCCGCCCTCCTCGAGTACGCCGCGGTCAACTACACGTACTGGGGCGCTAGGGCGAAGAAGAAGGTGAAGCAGAAAAAGGGAGATGACTTCACTCCGTCAAAAAGGACCACTTCTGGTGACCAATGCTTTAACGAAGAGATTATTGAACTGCAGGTAAGCTCAATTAATTAATTGTGGATTAAGTGTGTACATGAGTAGATGAGTATATTTATGAGTATGCTTGATGTACATGAGTGATCAGTAGCCGCGGAAGTGCGGGGACAGAGGGACAATGTCCTCATAGTTGTTCGGTGTCCCCATCATCTGCCCACGTTATATAAACCCCTCCCTCCCCTATCCTACAATGTTAATGTCCCCACATATCCCCACAGCTTCCGCGGCCAATGTAAGCTATGTGCGTACATGATTGTACATTCTTAACCCTGTAAATTCAGGAGCTCCAACTCTCCCCAATACCATCCATCCGTCAGAGAAGTTTTGCATCTCGGAGTGACCCTACCATCGCCGCACCGGGCGTGCAATCCCCCCGATTTCCACCCAGTTTCCGGATCCATCGCCCCTACCACCACCATCATTCTTGCTCCTATTCAGCCACTCAGCAAGCCGCGGCGGGAGGATCTTCATCCCTCCGTTCGAGAGGCTTCCGAGGGACGAAGAAGCAACATCGGACAGATCTTCAGGCCCAGCCACAAAGGGTGCTTCAGTCTTTAAGAAAAGGGGCGAGCGCGCTGAAGGCGTCACTTCCGAGGATTCGGGACGTCAATGTGATTGATAAGTATTCCAGAGTCGTGTTCCCGGTCTCCTTCATTCTCTTCAACGTTTTCTACTGGAGCTTTTACTTCTTATGAGATTCGCCATCTGCCTACTACTACAGCTAGAAAGGAGAAAAAGACGAGGTGGGCGTGGGGGGTGGGTTTATTTGCTCGGCATACTTTTTTGGTCAGACTTCTGGTGAGGCCGAATTTTCTATGTAAAAAGTACTCGACCTTCCTTTCTCTAATTTCCTCTTTACAAGAGAAATTCATTCCATAATTTAAATTTAATAACTGATTTGCGTTGCGATCTCGTACTAATTAACCCGGGTGAAAGAAAAGCTGAGTGAACATTTTTCGGATTCCCCGGAAAATCTAGTGTGAAATACGCATCATCAAAGAACATCACTCTCACTTGTTCAATCAAATCAGTGCCAGACTTTGATCGGAAATCAATAATATCCGAGAATGGAGTGGGTTTCACGATCAAAATCTCTTCCGGTATCTGATATTCACGGAAATCGGAGCGGATCGTTCCGTTCTCAACAACTTACCAACTTTCGAGAGGAATCAGCCTCGTCTTTCACGTAAAAAATTACATGCCGAGATGACATTCCAAATAATGTTATGAGACACTTGTTCAAAAGTCAGAGTTTATAATTTCACCTTTGTTTCTTTTCAAGAAGGGAAAAAACTGCTCCTCGTGAAATAAAATAATGAATTGACTTTTAGATACTGATATCTCGAAGACAAGAAACATGCAAACTGCGAAATAAATATGTTACTTAATATGGGAATATTTAAGAAAAATAGGAATTATCCATGAATTTTTATACGAAATGAATAACTACACAATTACCAAAATCTTTGTAATTTTAAAGTGTAATCGACCTCAAAGTGTAAAACAGTGTAAAAAATTAATAAGCAACAATTCTCTTCCTGTTAAAAAAGCCAAATTATATTGTTAAAGATGAATTGACATAATGATTGAGTACCTACTTATCACCTCCTTATCGTAATTGAAAAAAGGGTCAAGAGTGGTGGTGATAAGGTAATTAATTAAAATTGATGTATCTCTGTGAACTTAGATTGTAATTAATTAGTGATTTGTGTGTATAATACGCATATTTCTACCATATGTTTCTATCATTTGCTCCAAATTTACGAGCACAGGTTCGTGGATACGTGAATAACTTGTGTAAATATAAATATCAAATTGAACTTTTAAGTTCCGAGTATTAGTTTTGGTATGAAATTAATACGGAATCGGTAACCGGTACAGACATTGTTACCGCAGTTGGATTCTAACCCATTTTAGTAATCTTTAGCGATTTTAACCCCAAATTTACGTTTTGAAGTCTATTCCGTGAATTTCATATAAATTTGTGTAATATTGTGTAATATAAATATCGTATCCTTGTGTTTTGCTATATGTATTTGTATGTAAGAAATCTCTAACTTGTTGGGTATTGAAAACGATAGTAATATTAATAATGCTCATAATTAATTAATTAATCATTACATTACTCATTAATTCATGAAGAAGACAATGCGAATTCTTATTAAATAATTCTGTATATGTGTCATACTTAGGATTATGAAAAGTGACATAATTTTTAAGAAATATTGGTTGTGTGTCAAGTAAGTTTAAGATTTTTCATTTTTTATTGTAAGTTTCTCTGAAAATGTGAACATGTTAATTATTGGTGCTAACGATTATTAATTATAGTGACATATTTATTAGTAAACTTATAAACCTTTTGGAGCAGAGGTCCGGTTGGCGAGGGTGGGAAGAAGGGTAAATTATCAATTTTAGCGATTGAAAGAATAATGATAATAAAGTGATTCAACTAAATTTACGTAATTTATGTTTCTCTAAATTCATTCATGGGTAACGCAACAACCATTCGGTACACAATGCAGTTATTTCATGCATATTCGTCAAAACCTCCACAAAGTCGAAAAATATAAAGGTTTACTAAAATATCGTAGCTCTGCAGATAACAATTGTACTATTTAATAATTATTAAAAGGTATATAAACTCATCGAAAACTTAACGATGAACAAATCATAAATTTCTCTAAAACTATTATGGCAAACTTAATGCTAAAATGACCACCTGCACACAAAATGTAAGACTTACACACAATTAACTTTGCAGTGTTAAGCTAAAAATAATTAAGGTATGATTAGTGAAGAAAAGCAGAGAAAAGTTCAATTACAGGTACATTACGAGTACATATGCACCATCGAACAGAAAAAGACGGACAAATTAATAGTGTTTAACGCATACTAATTGTTAAGCAGTTGTGGAATCCATATATTTGTCGTGATTCTACAGTAAATGTCTCTTTGTCGCATAATTATTAGTAAAAGCTCGCGTATTTATTATTTGGCAGATATTTAAATATATAATTAATTAATGTTACATGTTCCCTTTACATGATTTCACTCTCTCGGCACTCACCCAATCCGAGGACGGGTGGTTTGATGAAGGATATCCGTTCCACACCCGAATTACACGAATTAATGTTAATACTACTGCTACTTCCTCCCTTCGAGGACTTGTTGATATTCGATGCCGAATTTCCACCCTTGGGGAAGAAGAGGCTTCCTTGTTGCGGTCTCCCAGTCGCAGTAAAGTGCACGTCCACCTCGACTTCCGACTTGCACAGGGGCGTCGTCGTATTACTCGACACGGAGCTTTTGAACGTAAACAAGTTATTTATGTGGGACGATCCCTGTGAAGTGGTGGAATTTGTGGAAGTGTTTTCCATCTTTCCCGATGTTGGGGTCTCAGCCGAAGATTTCGTCTTTTCGGTTTTTGAGTCGTCTACAAAATCAGTGAGAACTTGGTTGATCAATTTGCCCAGTGGGAGCAGCACTTCGACCTGCACGTTGGACGATGATGATGATGACGTGGTTGGCGTTATCGTTGGTGTCGTCCTTGTCACGACGGTGACAGGTTTTGGACTTGCATCGCTGTAACTGCTCGTTGTTGATGAAGTTAACCCTGTCCCAAATTTCCTCGTGGGGGGAAGTGTTCCTATTTTGGCGGAATGCAGCATCCGATCGTAAATCACCTTTTTGTCCCACGACCTGGCCGGATATTTGAGACAAGACGACGTACTCGACATGGCTGAGGATGCCCGACTCGACAGTGGGGGCAGTGTGCTTGACTTGCTGGGAGAGTGGGGCGACAACAAGAGGGGAGTGTGATGCTGGTAGCCAAGATATCTGCGTCGATAAGGGTTGTTGTAGAGGTAAGCGGCCGCGGAGGAGGACGAAGACGGTGTCGGCGTGGGGGACAAGAGGCGACGAAGTTCTAAGTCGTCTTCATCCTTGTTCGAAGACGAGCAGGATGGCGATGTCATCGTTGAAGGGGTTGAAGACGTGATGCAGTGCTCTTTTCCGTCATGCTCGGAAGATTCCGTGTACCTAAGACCACAAGCATTAAGCAACCACTGATGTCTTACTTTTTTGTGATTTCTCTTACCTCCCCGAATCCGAGTCAAGTTCTCCCTTCCCCAACTTCGGACTTGGCGTTTGGGGTCCCATTGACGACGACGAATTGCTGCTCCTTTCCTCATGTCCACTGTCGTGTGACGTCGAGACGGACAAGAGGCGCAAACTTTCTCCCAAATTCTCAATAGAATTCGACGTTTGTGTGGAAATCTCTTTTGTAGAAAAGTGTACGAGATATTCGTCACTCGACTTGTGGCTTCTTGTTTTCTTGGCGTGCTTGTTACCAGCAAATTTTGTACCTCCTTTCGGCGATGATGGAGTACGCCGAAAAGTTAGCAAGTTTTTCAGGAAAGATTTATCTAGAAAGTAAAAAAAAATCCTAGTTTTGCATTCTCTCTAAAAAGAATTGTGTAAAATTAAGTGTACGCTTTCGTCGCCTGTCCAGCACGAGAGATTCCTTGCTTAACGTCAACTCCTTCATATTTTCTGACGAATTGGTCGTTGTCAATTCTCCCCCTGGTAATTTGTCTCCTTTCTGCAGTACTTTCCCACCAAGCAGCGTTGCCGCTTTGTTCTTCCCCTTTAATTTCCCCCCTAAAGAAAACGTTCTTCGGGGAAGACATCCTGTCGTTGCCTGTTCCCAGAAACGATTTAGAAAATCAACCCTTCCTAGAAAAATACACATCTATTCCGATTTTTTACTCCTCCTCACCCTTTCATATTTCTTGATCGAATCTCGTAACGAACTGCATCTCCTTAGCGAAGACTTATTACTACTACAACTTATGGCACCTAAAGCAGCATCGTCCGCTTTCCGATAAATTTCATCGTCCTCGTCATCTCCTTGATTTTCCTGCATTTTACTGCTCGCCGTTCCTCCCGTGATGAAGTACCCGTGCTCCGTCTGGTAAACTTTCTTCGATTTCGTGAGTCTCTCCAAGACCTGGTATAAAAGCTCTTTTGGTGGAAGCACCGTGTCAGGAAATGAACTTCCCAACTCTTCTAAAATCCCGTCTACGAAGGCTTCTCGACCTAAGAAAAGAGAGAACAAAGTTGAAAATTTACTACCACGTGACCCAATAGACAGTCACCTATGCATCAATAATTAATGGTACACATGCCTCCATTTTTCATCTTAATCATTCACTTCCATCTCCATTTTCACTTCTCATGACCAACCAACCACCCACCACAACCGGCTAAATGACTACAATACGCGAGGTGGACGGTGGATTGGATGAGTACGCGATAATAATAAACCGTGACACTAAATTAAAACTTTATATGTAAATACATACATAAGCATATCAAAACGGTCCTCCGTCTTATCGCCACTTTTCATCTCTCTATCTCCACAATGGTGTTCAACGCATCCATTGTTGTCCCATGAAACTGACCACTGCGGACGCGGACAAAAGTGTCAATATTTTTTTGATTTATTATTATTGACAGCGATTACGAATTCCGAGAGAAAGTAATCCAATAAAAAAATGGACGAGACACGGCTTAAAAATCCAGTCAAAGTAAACGGTCTGGCATGAACGTACGTAGGTACAAATTCATTTTTTATTTAATGTACAAAAAGGATGATCGTCTCGATTGAGAAAGATCAATGAATGCATGCATTAGATAAAAAAATGTCTCGATAATCGATCCACACTATGAAACTACGTATCCACATACACCAAACAAATATCGACCTCAGAATCTCATCCTCGTACATATGCATGCATAATAATCATGCACCCATTCTTGCGATAGGTATCAGTTCATCATGCAAATTTTGTATTATTCATCCCCTCCCTCTCTCGAGAAGGAAGAAGATGATTCTAAAAATTTAATCAATTCGATTCAATCCGCCAGAAAAATTTCAATCAACTCTTTTCTGAATCATGTCTCTTTCAAATCTGAGTCCAAATCAATTTCCATCAATCACATTGCACGGTTGAGATGAGATGAGATTGGATTTGGATGAGATTCATTGAGACACTTTCCCAAGAAATTAATGCGCCAGGCAAGAAGAATCTCCCTAAAAGTGAGGATGCTGATGCTGCTTGGTTTAAACGCGTCTTTAAGGTAAATTGAAAATTTAAATTGTTCACGTTCTTTTTTTTGAGGATAAATCGAACGAAATTTTTACAATTTTTTTACAATCTTTGCGCTGCTTTTCCTACTTTCTGGAAGGTGCAGCATGTATTATTTAGTACGTCGTAAAAAACCATGTAAGCAATATTTCAAGCTTTTTAATTTTTTTTCTGTTCTTACCTGCACCCGTAAGTTCGTGAATGGCCCAACATATCGAGTCTGACAATGGAATAAAGTTGCTCGGTTCGACCGGATCGGCGAGAAGTTCTTCAATTTCGCCTAAAATAAAGAAAAATGAGAGGCAAATTTACTTTACAGCTTTCTTCTTGCTAAAGTAATCTTTGATTAAACAAAGTTTCAAGTGAGGCGAGCGAGTGTCATGAAAATGAAAATGAGTGAGGGTTGGACATTGACGATTTGAACAGAGGAATAATAAGATGATGTCCAACTCTAATGTTGTACACACATTTGGAGAGGAAAAGGCAAACAGGTGTCAATTTAACACCACGTTCATTTCTTATCAACGTTGAAATATGGAGCAAAACTGGTTTAATCGTCATCTCATTTTCATCCTGGCTCAGAAGAGGCACAAGCTCATTCTTTTAGTTTTAATTTTAATTGTGCGCAGCTAATTCCTTTTCCTTCCTTGTTTTTCTTTGTGGATGGTGAATATCCGTGATCCACGCCCCCTCCGGCATCTCATTTACAAACGGATGGCTGCCCCAGCTCAATTTGGTTGGGATCCACCAACCAACCGTGCCCCCAAAAAAGCAATTAATTAGCCGAGAGCAAACATAAAGACAAATTGGTTTGACACCGGGGTGACACTCAGTCAGTCAGCTCAGTGTACATAATAATACCAAGAGATGAAGGTACTCGTAGGTAGGATTGGAAATGAGAAAGTCTCAGGATGCCCAACGGGCTCATTTTCGCACATTCTCCCTTTTATTTGACACTCATTTGCTCACTCAGTCAGTCACTCAAAGTGTAGCAGAAAGAAAGACAACGGCTCAAGAAAATGATGAATTTCAAGAACTTCTTCTTGCGGCTATTCTTTTGATTAATGCTCATTACATCGACTAATATCTGGCAATAATATTACAAATATTTTCCTAAAACGAACCACATTTTTGTATACATGATACGTGAAAGAAGAAAAACTTGATAACTTTGCAAATCTGAAAAGCATGTCTTCCATGTCGTGACAGGGTAGTAAATAACATCATAACATCACATCATAAAAGATGACAATTATTATATTGAGCAACTCCTCGTACACTGCTCATTACGACGACTGCGGTACGCATGCAAGTAGCCATTGTTTACTTTTCCCATTATTGAGCCCTGCATGACAAGTGACATCCTTCCGATGGTTCATACATACGCATGTACCTAAACTGCAGTATTAAGAGGTCAACTTCTCGTGTCATTCGTAATATGTCACGTACGTTTCAGTTTTGTCACATGTGTGACACCAGCAACTTAGTCTTGTCACTTTGTCACATTCTTCCTCCCAGAAAAACAATGCTGAATGAGAAACAATTCCATATTAATTGGTCGAATCATCGTCACGATTCGCAAATAATTGTCAACAATTTGTCTTATGTAGCATTCTTCGTCTTCATCATGTTTACTTATTTACTACATGCGGATGGGAAGTGTTTAACTACAACGACTACATAAACTCGACACTGCTACGTTTAATTATAATTTAAATAATAAATGTTAAATGAAACGGAAATAGTTACTGGGTTGATGTCGTGTTATCTCCTTGTCTGCGTTGTGATGCAAGAAAAATGTGTGTTAAAATTATCATTGTCTGCTGCTGTCAACATTACTGAATTGTTCCCGTAGACTCGTAAAAAACGGAGAGAATTCTGTACTCCTGTACAACTGACAGACGAAGCGGAAATTCCCACAATTTTTTTTCACTTTTTATGCAAAATTTGAAAAAAACTATACCCATGGTTCAGTTCAGATTTGGATATTTGATTATCTGTCTCAATGTTGCGATGAAAGTAAAACCGTTGTCTTATTACTTGTTCAATCAAGGATGAGAAACAATTATGTTTATTATTTTTTCTTTGTAGGGCAGAAAGAAAAGGATGAGAAGAAGAAGAAGACAAGTGAATAACATAACTGACTCCATTATTTATTAGAGAGAGAGAGAGAGATGTAACACTGCCATATAAATAATAATAATGGGGAGTCAGGTAATATGCACGTGAGTGTGTCGTTTCGTTTATTGTTACTTCAAACCAACGACGACGACAAGGATGCATGATTGACCAATCAGGGATGATGATGAGAAGGAAAGTGGTCTCAATTCCGTCATCAAAAACTAACACGGCAAAATTCTTGATATTTTTTATGAGATAGATCCATATGAAATGAGGCCTAAAAATAAGTAATAACTACAAATAAGATAGGGACAAATAAGATGAATTGTCTAACATTACCAGAAAGCAGATGAATAAAGAGTGAATTGGAGGCAAGTTGAGACTCGGACCATGCGATGTTGCAGGAACTTTGCAAAAAAAGAAAGGGTTGTGAACCCATTGTTGCGAATGTATTCAGATGCATCATCTTTTTACATGATTTCTTTAATTTGAGACTAAAAGTGAAGCAAATAACAAAACAAACAGTGTTCAATTTCAGTAAATAGTCCGTCCTGGCGTCGTCCTCGTCTACAATTTACTGAAGAACTCGACTGTTCGCTGACCATCTCATCCTTTATCTTGGTCCGTACACAAGCCCATCTTTCTTGAGGGTCTGTCTCCTATCACTTTTATTTCACTTGACGTCTTCTCTCCTTTGTCACTCTAAACACACAGTTTTGTTATGAACCAGACTTGGTTTATGCCTTGGATTCATGACACCTTTAATATTTTCGTAAAGAAAGAGAAAGAGTCCACTAGTCCAATTCTTCAGAGAATAGCTCCACACAATAAACCCATTTGTATTAAACGATATGCTAATCATGCCGACAAAGAACGAGTTATATATGAATATGTTGCTCTCGCTTGGAAAATATTTTCTTCAATTTCATTTTATGACACTTTTACTTTTCGATTTCAATTTTGCAAAAATTAGATTCAACTAACTTACCGACAAACTCGATTCTAAATCCGGGTGGACTTTTCAAAATTTTTCTAGCCCATGCCAACTTGACGATTATGATGCAATTGTTTGTGGTGGTGGTGTCATCGGGGATGGGGGTGGCATCGGAAGAATCGTCCTTGTCCGTGATACTGGTCAAACCACCGACTAAAATTGTGGAGGGTAAAATAGTTCCTTTATACTCGAGGGATGTGATGGCATGAGTGACTTCCGGGTTCCAGATACAGGCAGAATTGGCGTGGACAAATTCCTATGGATGAAGAAAAACATGAATCAATGAGGGTATTTATTGCGACTTGGCATTTTCGCATCGCAACATACTTCACTTTTTCTAAATGGTGAATTTTGCGAAGTGAAGACACTTCGCGAATGACAAAGTTCGGAAAATTGGCAAACATGTCTCGAATTTTGCGCTAATTTCCATTAGTTACCGAAGTTTTATGTCTGAAATTTACCACATAAGAAATTTGAAAAATTCTAAAGGCCAAACTTCAGTAACTAATAGAGATTTATGGATTTTTCCCATTGGAAAATTTGTGAAAAATATTTTGCGACTAAAAACTAGCCCTGGAGATGCGCAAGTTCGCAAATCAATTTTCAACCCATTTTTTGCAAACTTGCGAACTTTACTGTTTTGCGGACGTTGCTAAATATACGAACTCGAAATGAATACCCTCAATATTTTACTAATTATTTAACATTATTTTTATTAGTAGAATATTTTTCCCAAATTTGACCAGCTTCATTATTTTGTATACTTTAATTATGCCATACAAGTCGCTTTGAAATCAAGCCAGGCCCAAAAGTAAAAGTTTTTTTTACCCATTATTCCATCCTCCTCTGGGGATAAAGACATTAAGACTTTGTAAACTACATTTATTTCCCATTAGATAATAACATTTGCATTTATAAATCTTTCAAAATCGCCGTATGAGAGGAAATGATACGACCAGACCACAAAACAAATAAGTCTCTTTTGTACCCAACCCACATCATCCCAGGTCATGTCAACTCGTAGTAAATATGAAAATCATGCTTATGCCATTCTCCTCTTGACATTTGGCACTTCATGCGCAATAAATATGAGAGTGTACAATTATTATTTCGCGAGGAGTGACAGATACAATCCAATAAATAAAATCGCATTTTTTTCAACTGTCTCCTCGGAGAAAATGAAATCGTCTCATATCTAGAATAATGTGCCATACCAAGTGCATTGTTATTACGAATTATTAAACAAACAAGAAATGAGAAACATTTAAAAGAGGCGAGTAATTAAATCCGATACGCATCATTGTAACGAGACAACCATCATAACCAGCAGATTTGCTACGACTAGCCTGCCTACCTACCCATCTTATATATTTTTTCTTCAAAATATGACAAAATATGGCCAATAAATGTTTCAAAGGTCATAAACAGTTCCTCATTATTGTGCCGTTTAGACATATTTATTTTATTGAATATCCTTTATGGTTATGTCTTTCTTGTGATTGCGGACTTGATGAATTTTCCAATCGTGTGACTTTGTCTTAGTGGAAAATTAAAGATTGGGAATGATCAGAAATATTTCTCTGTTACAGATTTTCTGCATCATTTTTTTTCTACTAAAGAAAATAAGGATCAACTTTATGGTGGTACACTCTCATCGCCATTTGCAGAATAAACCAGCTTTTCTTCTAAGCGTCTCCTCTCAATATCAAAAATCCAACGTGAAGCAAGCTACCTGACTCTGAAGTGACCGTGGTTGTTGCCATTCTGATTTATCACCCTCATTATTGCGAGCCAAGGAAATAAATCGAATCCATCCCACTTTTCCTAAACTCACTCACTTTACTTACCTACCTACAAGACATCGCATCTATAAACTCATCTATTTAATACAATGGGATGAAATAATCTCTCTCTTAAAAAATTGATATGGGATCAAACAATAAAAGAGAAAAAAAACTTGGATTTTGACAGTTGGACATTTTATTCCAATTATGAGATATTTTTCATGCAACTGTGTCCAATATGAAAAATATTAATATTAATTTCCCCAATTTCCTCATGCTTCTTTTCAACCCCCGACTGTACATATTTGGTTATAGGAGAAACAAACCACAATGAAATGAAATGAAACCTAACCTTTGACTCCAGTCTGTATAGATTTGGTCCAAATAAAAATGCTTAAAAAACCTCATAAAACCTTCATCTTTCCTTAACGAGAAACTTTCTTCCTTCGCTTCGCTGTTGTCGTCGTCGTCGTTGTCGCTTCGAAAACCAAGCCAAAATTAATGGCGTTGGTCTCTCTGGTCAGTTAAACTATGCAGGTTTTATTGTTGTCCAATAATTTTATGGGGATCATGTTCATCGGAGGAGGAACTATTCTGCCACATCGATCATCAATGTGATTTACAGTTTTAGAGAGAGAAGTTCGTAATGCTCTCGTTTTTTAAAGTAGAAATCTACAAACTCGTCACTCAAAAGAATGTACATAAATGGTGCAATAATAAAAAGAGGAAAAAAATGCCCACCTTAAACAAAAATATTCCTTTGAGGCTTGAATCCTGCGGAAGTGCATGTTCTTGTTCCGGCATAAATTTGGTGACCTTCCGATCCTTGGCCGGATTTGTAAGTTTGTCTGCAAGTCAAAACTTTTAATTAGCGCTTCTTTCGGTCAAATCAAGCATTAATTACGAATTGATTTTAAACTCATGGCATTGTTCGATTTGAAGAACAAATCAAACACGATCATCTCCACAAACATAGAGACGCCGACAATGACGACGACACTCACACAATCTGCATACGACCAACCAACCAACCACTTTGACCAAGTGGCACTTTTATTTAATTATTGTAAATATGTACCTACTGCTTCCTCCCGAACTTCTAAGGACGACCATTGCAACCAAATAAATAAATCAGACGCACAATAAAAACGCTCATTTACTTGGACTACTGCCACTGCCAGCACACAAAAGGGAAGATTATACATGCCATCCCATCATCAACATCATTACCGTCTTGTCGTCAATCATGATTATTTTATTGAGTGGACTGAGTGACTTTTATAATGACTCCTTGTGTTGAGCACATCCCACACGAGTACGTACACACACCGGCTACTGAACTTTTGTCAACTTTGTGATCAGGAAAAAAATCCTAGTGATATTTTTGCTTATTGATTTATGCGAAGTGATTGAATCGAGCTTTCTCTCCGGTTGGGTAACATATGCGGATGTGCTATGGACCTGTGAATCCAATGTCTTTTAATTTCTCTCTCCGTCGTCGTCGCCCCTGCCTGACGCATTTGCATAAGAGGCAACCACCGCGTCCGTACCGACGGATGATACCAAACCCATGTACGTTGGCTAAATTATCTAGGATAAGAATTGCAACGTAGAATATGATGAAAACAGAATAGATTGCGAACTGGTGGGAGGTCTGAGAGTGATGAAAATTCAGATAGATTTTATTCTCTAATCGAAGAAGAAGGAATAACGATTTGATTGACGGACGGCTCATTGATTTCTGTGTGTTGATTGATTATATTTCACTATGAATTGGGGGTTTCATACATACATGCGCAACCATAGTCGTCTGGCTGTGTGGATTTTTTCACAATATTTTTATCCGCTCTGTTCTAGGAAGGAGGTTTAACACATATCTTCATATCGTCATGAATGAACAAACAAACAACGGTGTGTAATCTGTGACTATTTTGTGTACAGATCGAATAGAGATATTATTACTTCTCAGGAGTTTTACACTTCACTCATTCGTCACTATCACTAGTTGCATAGGGCTAAATATACGTACGTACAGGTGGTTGTTGATATAGGGCTGAACAGCGTGTGGTCAGTGGCTGTAGGGCTGGCTGTATGCAGTACTCTTATTATTATGCGGTTTGATTTCGAATAATGCTGCTATAAATAGGGGACTGTACCACCAACCAACCAGCCCAGATTGAAAAAAAAGTATGTGGAATCAAATCTACATCGAAATCATGGTCTGGCCGTAGTGGTCAATGGCTTTCAATGAAGAAAACAGAGTCGTTCGTATGCAAATGTGGGGACAAAAAATGGTTACCTGCTCTTCCTGCCGAGTGATGATGATCATCGTCTCCTTCTTCCTCGTCGTGATGTTCTTGTCCTTGGTTGTTCTTGTCGTCGTGAATTGGGACAAATTTTATGGCCAGAGAGTCCTGAAGGAGGACGAGGTATTGCCGAATTTCTGGACGAATGTTGGTCATCGGAGCGGTTTCCCCGTTCTCCATGTTGAATTAGGAACACACAAGGGTCAAAACTGAGTCACATAGTCGCAATAAAAACGGGAAAACGTGGCACAAAATATGCACTTTAAATAGTTCCTTAATTTTAATAGCACATTCAGGATTTCTGAAAATAAATGTTCCCACAATTTAACTCGAGACGTTTTATTTTAGAGCATCTTCCCTTGAGCGGAGTCCAAACCTGGCGAAACAGATTGAAATATTCGTTATTATTTTTTCTAAATAATTCCAACCTTAAGGAGTCTCAATCTTCTTGAAAATCTTATTATCACATTTCACAATAATTTTATTCTAATTGCACTCCTGCCACTATATCACCGCCAGGCTAAAAAAATAATCTCGTAACCTTTCTACCTTCCAATATGTACAATAACTAACTACAAAGTCGTATTAGTTCCACCGTGTTCGTCGAATTGGGGAGTGTTACTCGTATCCAATGGATTTGTCGCGTTACTTAAACCTATTTCATTACACAAACACCACCACGAAATCAAAATCCTATTATTTATTACGATGGGATGGTCAACAATCAAAGGAAAAATAAACACTACAAGCCAACACAATCCTCCTGTGCAACTGTCGCACCCACCAAAAGCAGAATATTCTCTAGCGAACCTCTGACCTGCAGATATTATTCCACGATGATGACAAACTACCCAAATATCTTTTGGATACACTTTTACTTAAGAAAAAAACGCCAAATTGGAGTGAATTATTATGGACAAATTTTTATGGAGGAGAAGAAAACACGCACTTTTTACTAAGCACACCAACCAACCACGTACAAATTCATATTTATCTGCGACAAATAAGGAATGGTGCAACAAGACTCAATTTCAGCGTTGCGTGTGCACATCTCACAAAAATTTCACCCATATTTGGCACATTTTTGCTGATATATACACACCACACCACACACACTTGATAAAAAGGAGTGACAGTAAACAGAAGACGTTTTTTCTTCTTCTTCTTCTCCCTGGCCCTGCTTAAGATTTGGATTAAATAAATTTGACATGAAATGAAACGCATGAATTTAATCAACCCCGCGGGACGTCTTTCACAAGCACATCTTCCTCTCCGTCATGTCAAGAAGGTCACTCACGTTGTACGTACCACGGAATGAATGACAACTGCAGCAGCAGCAGAGTCATCTCCAAAAACAGAGCGAAAGTAATTCACCAAGTTTGAGACAGTTTTAGGGCAAAATTGTCCAATATACATATGTTTCACATCTTTGTTTGTTGAGAAATAGAAATTAAGGTACAACTTGTGCCCAATTATTTTACGAGATGTGGGTCTCATTTGAAACATAAAGTCGTAAAGTTGTCGGATGTTTGCAATCAGTTTCGATTCATATGGAAATTAATTTATTAAATCAAACTGGTATGAGTGGTGGTGGTGGCAAAGTAGTGTCCAGTTACATATGTGTGTATCTATTGCAATTTTAAGGACACCATCACTATGAAAATACTTACTCACTTGAGAATAATGGGAAGGTTGAGACAGCCAACAAAACACACCTGCATAAATACACGCAATGTCTCGGTGACAAGGGCACAATGATGAAGTGAGTGTCACTCTGACTTGTTGTCGCATCTCGTGAAGAAACAATGGTTTTAAATTGCAAATTAAACTGTTTTCAATAATTCAGCGATAAAATGTCACCAACACAATTACATGAACCCAACCTTAATTTTCTAATAAGCCAGCCACACACACACACTTATCCTCTGCTGCTGAGATACATGATGATGATGACGATATGGCACAATCACATTTACATACATTTACAGGTGTGATTGGTGATACGTTTCACTCACTTTTTTCCCAATGCATTCCTCTTTTACGGTTTCTGCTTCACATTATTGCAAAATGATTGGAATCTGACTGAGAATTCACACTTCGTATGTATACCCTTGCAAAATATTGAGACAGGTGAGCTACGTAGGCAAAGTGACCAACTGACACGCCGTGAAATTCGATATGTAACGTGTGCTTAAAAAATAGCAAATATTTTCTTTCTTGTCCAACACACGTGATCGATCCTCATAAAAGTTTCTGTCCCTAGTACCCCTCTCCCTGCCCCTCTCCTTAGTGTAGCACTAATCAGAAAAAGAGACCACAGGAATTTTTACTGCGAGCAGTTCTCTGTATGAAATCTCATCTGTTGTAATGCAACTAACTTCACCTACCTCAACCAAGGCACATCCAATATATTCTTCTTTGTACACACACACAGAAAGAGTAAACAACGTGTCGTTGTGAAACAGAAAAAACAGGGATATCCCATTAAATGGCAGGTATGCAATGCAGGCATGCATGCATCGCATCTATTATTTTAAAAGACTAACTACTTTTTCTTCTCTTCTCTCTAAAACAAATACCAAGTCAGACCAGACCAGACCACGCGAATTAAGGAACGAACACACTTTCTTGCTAATTTAGCTGCTAACTGTCAACTAATAACTGTCCTGTGGTGGTGAAATGACCAGAGGATCGTTACGATTATTATTATTATTATGCATGTTATGTTGTTATCTTTGAGCAAATAATGTTTTAAAATTTATGCATTTCTTATTCCTTCTTTCTTTTTCTCCTCACTCTCTGTACGTACATATGTAAATACATAAGTATGTGCATATTATTGACTTTACTTTTTGCACTTGTGGTTATCGGTTGTGCTGTCACCTCGCAGAAATTTCTGTGTAAGTAATGGAATTTGTGTACTTAATGTAGACACTCCCAATTTTGGCCAATAAGTGTGTGTGTGCATGTAATAATGTGATGGTCGTCGGTGTGCAGAAATTATTTGCAGGTTGGAGAGTGTGCCTTAACTGTGTTTTGCGTAATAGGAAGAAGAACAAGGATAAGGTTTGTGTGACCAATTCTTCGTCGTCGACGGAGAGTTGTTGGAGGGCTGCTGCTGCTTGCTGGTCTCCCATGGCGTGGGGACGGCGGCCTCACCTCAGAAATAAATGGAATGTGGACGAAATGAAACTTTATCCTAAAATTTATTAGGATTTAATTCAATTTGAGACGAGATGACGCCGCAGCGTAGCAAAACATTTAGAAATACGAGGCATAACAGTGGAATAATAAAATTTAAAGGACTGTAATATGTCGTCGAAAAGAGAAAAAGTGTCATGTTGCAAAATTCTTTGCGAAAACATGCAAATCCTCACATGTATGCGAATGTATACACATTTAGAGGAGAGATGTGTAGTAATTTAAGCAGTAAGGATGATTGTGATCCTGATCTGATACTAATACGACAAGGAATGTCCATTAGAAAAAATGTAAGGAAAGGTGAAGGAAATAACGAGCAAGCCAATTTTTTAAGAAATTTTATTTCCAAGCTTGATTTCCTGTCAGAAATGACAAATAAGTAAATAAATGGGTGGCGTTTTCGTTCTGCGGCAGGTTAGAGAAGTTTATCAGAATTATAGTGTCAGGAAATACGGGTGTGGGTCGTATATATAAAACACGTTGACCTGACCAGCTTGTCATGTTCATGTCATGTCAGCACGAGATTGGTCAACTGTACAATAACGGTATTTGACTTTCAAAGAATGCAATGTAAAATGCAAATGTGCAAGAGATCGGAATTTGTGGTATGTACATTAGAGGTAAAAATAAGTCAAACTTTCTTCATTATACCAGTTATTCGAGATTTAATGCCATCTCATAAGAATGCTTAGATTACAAAAATTTCGCAAAATTAACAATATTATTGTCCAGCTCATTTTAATTAAATTTAGAATTTCTGACAATTACAAAAACCTCAAACTAAATCTCCTGCCTATAGAGTTAAGTAGTTACATATGTAGATTAACTAGTGTTACGTTACTCTAGATGTTTATGTCATCTCAATCACAAAAGTTAAGCAGTGTATCGAATCTCTCTCCTCTGGTGGCATAATAATGTCATTATCTTTATCTCCTCACTCGTCATAGTCGACGGAACGACGACCGATCAAGGATGAGATGCATTCCTTCGTGCTGCTCTATAAACATGATACCTATTTCAGTTGCATTGTCGATTTCAGCATGTCGCAATATTGTTATTGTTGCTACAACAAGCAAACTATCTGGCACATATGTACGACAGCCGACTAACTATTCACCCAGTAAGAGCAGTAGCAAACTGTAGACAATCACACCGCAATAATAATAACAACAATCTCACTTTGTGTAACAGTAACTGCAAACAATGAGTAAAGTATGATGATCAGATCATCGTTGAACGTACATATTACACCAACCAACCAACTAACCAGTGCATGCACGAGATGACAGGTCACAATTATTAAATAAAGAAGGTAGGACGCGCATTTTTCCTTTTATTATTCCAATTTGTACACTTGTCCCATTACAGTTTAGCATGCAACAATTATATATTTGACTCAACTATGGCTACTTAAATAACGAAACGGAATAATAATTAACAAATCTAAACTGTGAACCATTCATTGGTCAACGGATACTAATAAAAATCGCAAACAAGATGTGATGCAAGCATGCATAGCGTCACTTAGGTGTCATCAATTTGTATGTATACCTAATCACACGACCCGTTCAACTTTTTTGCACTTGAATGTGTCCAATTTTGGCAAATAATCATATTGTTTTAAAGTATTAGCGTAGTTTGCCAAAATCACTGCCCAAGCTGAGCATATGTACATAAATATATTCTTCCACGTATTTATGTCTCGTAAATCATCTAAATATTGGCAGATACTTTTTCGCAAACAAATTTCTGCCAATAAAGTTACAAATTTGTTTACACCTAAAATTCGACAAGGCCTCCAATTTAATTTACCTTTCAACATTTCCACCATCCATAAAGTAACAAAAAACTTTACACCATTTGCTCTCTCATCTTATCATCATCTCATCGAGAAAAGTTGCTACCCAATAAAACACATCGCTTCGAATGGAAGACAGGCAGACACGATCTCATTATTATTATCTTATCGGATGGATAAGACAATATTGAAGCCGTTGTTTGAAAGCAGTAGCACTTGTTGGCTAATTGTAATTGACCCAGACAGATGCAAACCTCATCATCATCATCATCTCCTTTAAACGAAAAGAAAAGTAAGGACGAAATAAATAATGCTAAATCCAGTTTTACATTCCATTTATACGATTTCGCATTCGCACTCCAACCATTGGACGAAGA